CAATGATTGACCGCGTGAATTAGACTAGAAAAGGTTCAAAACCCGTGACATGGATAACAAGCATGAGAAGGTTGACTTTGTTTTTATATACAAGAGTGTTGCTTTCTACAATTTGATATAATCACTAATTTCCAAATCAACCGCGTCAAACCCAAAAAGTATGGCGAATACGGACACTACTACTACAACATCATCACCATCAACTCTTCTTCTCTTTTCGTATGTTTTTTTTTAATAAAAAATTTCTTTTTGGCTCGTATTGAATAAATTAACAACCCAATTTGAACCGTGTGTTCTATGTTTGTGTGTCAATGTCATGTTATAAAAACGAATGGTTGAGAAAAAAATTTGTCATGTATACTAATTCTTTAGCAAAAATACGTGTGACTGAGACATTTAACCAAGAATCTCTTACTAATGTGAATTTTGCATACGAAACCAAGATCGAACCAATCCAAATTATAATTACTTACCAGGCCGTCCTATTTGATTTATTTAACCGAACCGGACCATACTGTTTAGCCATCACCTAAAATAGTGTTTCTGTATGATCCAGATTTAGTATAGGTTCGTATATTTTACTGTTAATTACTGCAATAACATTATCACAATTAAAAACATGTGCGTTAAACTGTTTACACCAACACCATACATTTTTGTTTGTGTAATCCACGTATAACCCACGTATTTATATATATATATATATATATATATATATCTCTACACACGTATTTTATATGTTTCAGAAGAACTGTTCATATTTAATATTGTTAAACGTATTTTTTAAAGTCTGCCAAATTAGAACTTTTTGCAGTGTTTCCCATTGTACATGTTTGTTTCCTCTTACAAGGAAATTTCATGTTTGATACAATCTTAATGGAATTAGGTATTGCTTATGTATGTTTTTTTTTTAATTTTTATATATGTAAACGCCACTCTTAATAAGAAAAAAAAAACAGGTCGTATCTTACATAAATGATATATTGATATACATTCGAATTTAAACCAGTTATTAACCGGAAGCTAAAATAAATATAATTATAAATAGTCCGCATTTTGTATCCCAAAACTATCTTTGTTTTTTTCTTTCTTTATAATAATTAACTAGATGTTGACCCGCGGTACACCGCGGGATAATTTTTTTTATTTAAATTCATATTTTTAAAAATTTATAGATGTTAGAGTTTATTTAATAATTATTAAGATTGCATAATATCAATCTTTACTAAATTAGTTTAATTATACATGTTTTATATTAGTGTCGGTTAACAAAGTAGTAAAATGACCCGTATTGAATTGTGAGATTAATAATATTCTTTTTTTTTGTAATATTAAGTCAAACCCGTTCCATCTTACAACCCGACCCGTCATATAACTTGTTGGAAGCATATTATAGTATTTCTCGTCTTATACCCCATCATGTCATATAATCGCCAAAAAAAAAATACATATTTCCCATCTTTCCGTCTTGATTTTACTTCAATAAGTAAAAGAAAAAAATGCTATCAAAACTGAAAAACAAAAATGGATATTCTAAGCTTACACACAAAGATTTGGTTATATATATAGGTAAATGGTGTGGGAAAGTTAAATATTTTAAATAATAAAAATTAACAAAATATTGCATAAAGGATTTGTATTTTCTTATCTTTTAAATATAAATGGAGAAATATAAAATATTGATCTGTTTTGTAATTTTTGATTTATTTTTAACATATTTTTACCCAAAATATTGCATAAATTTCAATGGTTCGGTTTTCACTTTCCACAAATTTCGTCAAAGAAATTCTGTACATAATAAATTGAAAAAGGTAAATTTAGAAAATTTTAATAATGTTTTGATATATTTTTATTATATTAAAACCTAGTAGTTATGGTAGTTACTAAAATATAGAGAAAATTAAAAGTTTCAAATTGTTTCTTATTTTTTGTGGAAAGTTTCAAATTGTTTCTTATATTAATTATTATATATATATATATATATATATATTGCAGATTTATTCATATATTATTATTATTAAATAATAATGTGTGTATCCCACAAAAAATAATAATAATCGTGTGCCTATTTAATATTTATAAAATCGACTGACTTTAGTTTGAGAAGTTTGCCTCATATTTTTGAATTTTACATTAGTTATTTTTGGAAATTTTTATTAAGATAATAAGTATGTATTAAATTTGAAAATTGTTTTAGCTATTTTCGAAATAATTAATAGAGATTTTCTTAACTATTTTTTCGCAATAATAAATATTTCTTTAACTTGAAGATTTTCTTAAGTATTTTCGAAAAATTTTAGGGAGATTTTCTTGTTTTCATTATTGATTTTTAAACTACTTAAAAAGAAATATTAATACCAATGGCAGAACCTTATAAATAAGTGAGCAAAGCAAGGGTTTTTTCATAAGTGTCTTTAAAAATGTTAATATAGATCAGTTACTTGCACTGAAGTTCATAATTTGGTTTCTTACATTTGTTCATTTAATTTTTGTTTCATAATACTTAAGAAATGATTAGCAAACATGAGATTTTAACTCGAAACCGATTAACAATAAACGAAGTATACTATATACATTAAAGTTTCAAATTTGTCAAAGTCTCGAAGTAGTAGGACAATTTTGATAGAATTTTTCCTTGAATTTTAGTTTTAAAGAAATATTTATTTTATTTTGATTGTTCATTTTCATTATAATTGTGTGTGAACACTACTTGAGTAAAAAATAAATTGGACTTGGGAATCTATTTAAGTCAAGACCTAATTGAAAAGGAAGAAAAACTGGTAATGTCTATGACTTTTTCTGGGTCGGCTTGATAACGTACGGAGTTCACGACTTATACGATTCATCTGGCACAATCTTACATGTATTAAAACTCTAACTTAAAAATACAATTCAATATATCTACATATTCTACTTAACCTTTTACCAAAAAAAATAATATCTACATATTCTGCTTAACTTTATGGGATATTTGTATTATCTTGAACTCTATTAAAACATATGAGAATCAGTTTAATGAAACAAATGTTGTGGTGTGTACAGATAAGATCTTGGGTCCCCAGTCTTTGTCAACAACACTGGCTTGTCATATCGTCCATGCCTTGCAAGCAATATATATATATATCGTAAATTAGAAAGAACAGTATCGTATACATAATTCCTATTTCTTAAAACAACATGTACCCATTGATTTATATTGTCATGTTTCTTTCTTCCAAATTGTTTCCACCTATCAATTATTATTAGAGGAATCTTTTCATATCATAATGCGCCGAAGAGGACAATATATGTTTAGCTGGACGATGTTCTAAGGTTTCACCTATCATATCATATTATTACACACACAAAACAATGATAGTTGAGCTTTCAGAAATGATATTATTACCTATCATATCATATATAATAGCTAAATGTTTTACCACATGAATATTGGATCAAAACCTCTTAGCTCCGGTGCCTTCATAGGATACAATTTTTAGGGTTTTGATGGGATGGTTTTAATGAAATAAAACAGCTAGAGAACGTTAACGGTCTAAATATTAATTTGGCAAATATGTAGTAACTTTGGTGTATAGCTCTCTAATGAGATATACATTCAGATAAATTTTTCTGACAAAAACTATAACTTTTAGGTGTGTGTCTGTGTTTTTAGGCTATTTTCCACTATATATATATATATATACATATGTATATGTGTGTGTTTAGGTTTCTGATATGAACTAGCAAATTCTGTGGACTACAATATATACACATCAATTCATCATATATGCCAAAGGTAGGAATATCACATCAGTAACCTAATAAATGTGAAGTAAATGAAGTGGACCCTTTGCCTCACTTTCACAACTTCATTAGATTCTGTTCATAAAATATATGGATCCACACCCCTAGACATAGATAGCATTTCATGCTAAACAATTAGAGTACTATTGTTGTAAGACCAGTATCACTATGTTTACTTCATTACTAATGCCAGTATTCAATATGTCTTTATATTATATATATATAACTAAAATGTGAAAGTACCAAAGTCACTGTACAAGAAACTAAATGTTAGAGAGCAAACATAGAATTAAATGTTTGGTGAACATGCATGAAAAGATAACTACTGACTTCTTGCAACTCTTGTCTGCCCATGGATCATATAGATATATATATTCAAAGATAATTACATGCATAATTTGCATCAACTTATTTAGTTATTCATTCTTATTAATTTAGTCCTGACATTATTTATTAAAACTGTTTAAATTTCGTTATAAATAAAACAAAGGTATATATGTGTGTAATAAATCTAAAGAAAATTAAAGAATCTCGGTTTCGAAAAAGAAAGGAAAAGAAAAAAATCTAAAATTAGTGATATGTTAAATATTTCTTTTGTTAGTCAATACTTTTTAAAAAAATTTGTATTCATATATATAATTAAAGTTGATAGGCTAATTTTAAACATTTCGACAAAAAATTTTAGCAAATAAATCTTGAACTTTTGAAAGAAAGAAACTTAATCTTTATGGTTTTGATTGACCATCTTATTCAACCATGCATGTAGCTACTATAGGTTTAATTAGTACTAAATACTAATTTATAGTCATATAAATTAGCCTAAAATTAGTCAATAGCAGTGAATTTAAAATAAAATAACATCATGTAAGAGTTAAAATATTAATAGTGAAAGCTACAATTAAAATAACATAGAATTGCATCAGTTGACCAGTTTAATAGAAATCATAAAACTGGTTTAATGTAAACATATTACACAATTTGGTTTAATAAATTAACTTTTAGATTAATAATAATACTAATAGACTAAAACTAGTCAAAATAGAGGGAAAGGGAGTGTAAAAATGGGCCTACATGGAGCACTAACTAAGCCCACATAACTCTCTTAACCAATAATTAAAACGAAACGTTTTTAAGCAAACAATTAAATGAAATTAATTAAATGAAATCACTCACACAGATGTCTCTATCTTTCACAGCCAAAAAAATATCACCAGTTGGTTTAATTTCCTTTTTCAATAGATTCCGACAAAATCCACTCGCTCTCGATCCACCACCACCACTATATAAACAAGAGCGAAGCCTTGGAGATGAAGAGCAGAGTAAGAAGAGATAAGAAGAACAACGATAATAACAACAACGACCTCTTCTGTTGTAATTACACACAGATTGAGACTATGGAGAGAAAGCCCCTTGAGGTTGAGACCACGACGACGACGACGACGACGACCGATGATGTTACTTCGACGACGGTCGATTCTTTCGAGGAGGAGCAGAAAAAACTTGTTTATAGAGGATGGAGAGTCATGCCTTTCATCATTGGTAAACACTTTTCTCTTTCGGACATACATATATGTTTTTGTTGTTGTGTTTTGTCGGAATTTTAAAACATTTGGTCCGTGAAGTTATTATAATTTCGTTTCTTTCTACTTGTCTTTGAGTTGACCGTGTCCAAAAATCTCGACTTTGGAGATTTTGCTCTGAGATTTCTGAACGAAAAAAATGGTAAAAAAAGATTTGGTTGAAACCCAGGTCAAACTAAATCTAAAGAGATTTCTTACATTAAAGATCTATCTATGGTAAAGACTAAAGAGTAAAAGACATTTTTACAATTTGTTTTTTTAATTTAATTTTCCGTGGAAAAAGAAGAGACTTTAAAATCAAGCAGTTAAGGTTTCTGAGAATTTCTGGATAAGACAAAATTAGTTTCTGGGAGTTACAGAACAGTTTTAGTCATGTAGTGTTAAGTTTCCATCATGTGAACCATAAAAGTCAGAACTTTGAAAGTCTTCCAATCTTTGATTTGTTGTGTGTTTCGGTTTCAAAAGTTGTAGCATTAAATGTTTTAAAAAGGGTCTTTGTAATTGTAACTGTATGAGAAACTTAGTTTCTTATCATTTTATGTGTTTTGCTATTCATAGGTAATGAGACATTTGAGAAGCTTGGGATCATTGGGACATTATCGAACCTTCTTGTCTACTTGACTTCTGTATTCAACCTTAAGAGCTACACAGCTGCAACTATCATCAATGCCTTTAGTGGCACTATCAATTTCGGGACTTTCATCGCTGCTTTCCTCTGTGACACTTACTTTGGTCGCTACAAGACTCTCTGTGTTGCTGTCATCGCTTGTTTTCTGGTACTTCAATCTTTGATGACATATAAAAAAACCAACCTGATTATGTTTTCGCCAATATTTTTCTAAAATATTGTCATCTTTGTAGGGATCGTTTGTGATACTACTGACTGCTGCAGTTCCTTCATTGCACCCCATTGCTTGTGGAAACAAAAGCACATGCGAAGGGCCAAGTGTGGGACAGATCATGTTCCTGCTGATGGGTTTAGGGTTTCTTGTGGTAGGTGCTGGTGGTATCAGACCGTGTAACTTAGCGTTTGGTGCTGATCAGTTCAACCCCAAATCCGAATCTGGAAAGAAAGGGATCAACAGTTTCTTCAACTGGTACTTCTTCACCTTCACGTTCGCGCAGATCATCTCGCTCACGCTAATTGTGTATATCCAGTCAAATGTGAGTTGGACTATCGGTTTGACTATCCCGGTGGTTCTGATGTTCTTGGCGTGCGTGATCTTCTTTGCGGGCGATAGATTGTATGTAAAAGTAAAAGCCTCAGGTAGTCCTTTGGCTGGTATTGCTCATGTTATTGCAGCCGCGATCAAGAAACGAGGATTGAAGCCGGTTAAGCAGCCTTGGGTTGATCTTTACAACCATATCCCGCGCAACTATGTAAATACTACTCTAAAATACACCGACCAGTTGAGGTAAAATCGAAATCTCTTATACTTTGTTCTCTTGATATATATGTTTCTGGCTTATGTTTTGCTGAATGACTTAGGTTTGTTATGTTGCCAGATTTCTCGACAAAGCAGCTATTATGACCCCAGAGGACAAGTTGAACTCTGATGGAGCGGCTTCTGATCCATGGAAACTATGCACATTGCAGCAAGTGGAAGAAGTGAAATGCATTGTAAGAGTGATTCCAATTTGGCTTGCTTCCTCAGTTTACTACCTTGCAATAAGTATGCAAATGACTTATCCGGTCTTCCAAGCGCTCCAGAGCGACCGGCGATTGGGTTCTGGCGGCTTCAGGATTCCTGGCGCAACCTATGTAGTGTTCTTAATGACGGGCATGACAGTTTTTATCGTATTCTACGACCGTGTCCTTGTCCCCTCGCTCAGGAGAGTGACCGGGTTAGAAACCGGGATAACACTCTTACAAAGAATCGGAGCAGGGATTGTATTTTCGATATTGAGTTTATTAGTTTCTGGATTTATAGAGGAACGGAGAAGAACCTTTGCGCTGACAAGACCGACACTCGGGATGGCGCCTCGGACAGGAGAAATCTCCTCCATGTCAGCTCTGTGGCTGATTCCGCAGCTCACACTTGCAGGCATAGCAGAAGCTTTTGCTGCCATTGGACAAATGGAGTTTTACTACAAGCAGTTTCCTGAAAACATGAAGAGCTTCGCGGGTTCTATCTTCTATATAGGTGGAGGCATTTCGAGCTACCTCGCTAGCTTCTTGATCTCAACTGTTCATCGAACAACTGAGCATTCACCTTCAGGGAATTGGTTAGCTGAGGATCTGAACAAAGCGAAACTGGATTATTTCTATTTCATGCTCACAGGAATCATGGTTGTTAACTTTGGTTACTTCTTGTTGATGGCCAAATGGTATAGATACAAAGGCAGCAATGACGAAGACATCACTGAGATTGAGAAAAATGAAGAAGAGACCAAGCAACAGCAGCTACAAGACAAGAACTCTGTCTGATCTGGAAACTTATTTATTTTTGGTCTTTCTTCTTCAGTCTCCCTCTTTTCTTGTTGTTCTTTTTCTTTACTCTAAGTCAATCTCTGTGTACTCCATAGATTAAAATTAAATGAAGAAATCACTTCATCTTTATAGACATGTATTGTACAATAAGATTGCTAATTTCAAACTGTGTACCAAATTTTTGTTAACTTCTTTCACCACAACAGCAGAACAAACCACTAATAGAAGACTAACAGAATTCCATATTTATATGCAGTATGTACTAACTTAACTAGAGACACTTTCATCAACGAACTGAGACCAGGTTGCTCTTTGAGTCTTCGTCTCTTAGACAGTGTAAGCTTGTTGAATGGTTTCTATATCGAGTCCTTTGAGTCTCACCACGGATTCAACATGGCCCTTGAGCGTGTGAAGTTCCCGCAACCTGTAAAACAGAGAACAATAGACAGAGAGAAGACAATGAAACGTTGTTTTTGTTATGTTCAAAGGCTGGAGATTGGGGTTTAAGTCACTTACCTAGCGATTTCAGCTCTCCTCTTGGCTTCTTCAGCCATTTGGTTAAGTTCACTGACATGGGATCGATCAGTGAACATCTTAGTATCTGGTGCTTGTAGACCATGGAGCGTTCTCTGTGCGTGCGCCCATTGCAGCTCTCTTTGTTCTTTCCCAAAATCCTTTTGCCTTGTGAACGCAACCTATGGAAATGCAAGAGAACTGATTAGAAACATTAGTGTACAAAGTAGTACAAAAGCTTTTTGTGTTCCTGATACATACCCTCTGTTCAATAACAAGATCCCAGGCTCTGCCACTAAGAGTGTAGCGGATGAAGAACTTGATGAAATCAAGTGGAATATAGAATATGATGTTATAAAGCCAAATGACTCCGGCCCATCCCCAACCAATTCCTTCTATCGCAGCAAAGCTCCAGTTTGCATAGACTGCAATTAGAGTAGCCACCTGTTTTGGAAGCAAAACAATCATTCATACCTAAGTTCATAATCTTAACCTTGGAGGTTCTGCATTGTGTCCTGCACACAGTTAACGAAGTTCAGGACTAACCAACTGAGCAAGGATAAAGGCAATCACAAGCAACAACCCAGGACGTTCCACAAAAGACCAGCTCCGTGACCGAGTCACAAAGATAAGTGCCTGACTGATAATACTGACTTGCAGGTATATGGCTGAGGCAAGCTTCCGGAAATCATCATGTGCTGTTTTCTCAAGTGTTGCAACTCCAAAAGTTCTCTGAAATTACAAATGAGAAAAGAGTTAATTGCTAAGATATCCAAAAGAATGACCAACAAGATTAGATGTTAATGGAACTACTATTAACAAAGCAAATAAAACCAACGAGATAACTAACACAAAGAAACAGAGAGGAGAGATATTGTACCGGGAAGAAATCAGTTTTGTATGAAACCCAGAAAAATATAACAGTCATCATAGCCATGTAACTTCCAAAGACAACACCGGTAGCAAAAATCTCAGAAAGTTTCCAGCTATCTGGAAGAGGGGAAGGTTTCACCCTGTCCTTTGATATCGTCATAATCGTACCTACAAAAGTTAGTCAATTGATATGACATAGTGTCATAGTCTAGAGGAACAAGTAGGAGAGTGCTTAAGTCAATATATGAGTGACAAAATGAGGGAATAAGAAACAAACCATCATTAAGAATGGCTATAATAAGAACCATGAAAGGTGGGAAGTCAAACTGCCATATGAGAGCTAGAAGCATGAAGCCCAGCTGAGTCAGAAAAAGTGTATAAAGACATCAAAAAAAAATAGTGGAAACAGTAAAATAGAGATGAGTAAGAAAACTCAAAAAAACTGAATCGAAACATACAACAATACGGATTGTGATGGAGACTGCGTAGATCTGTCCAGTAAAATAGAAAACCAACACAAGTCAATCAAAGGAAATAGGCATGAAGCGTCAGTGATTTACGATTTTGAAAAAAATGTTGCACTCACAGTGTAATTTTTCATTCTCTGGAAGATAGCACGACTGGTCAAAACAGCACTGATGATAACACTAAGACCAGGTTCGGTAAGAACAATATCCGATGCGCTACGAGCTGCATCAGTAGCATCAGCAACTGCAATGCCGATGTCAGCCTTTTTAAGAGCAGGCGCATCATTTACACCATCGCCTGTCATTCCACATATATGTTTCCTGGCTTGTAACCGCTTCACTATCTCATATTTATGCTCTTCGAAAAACCATTGTGAACAAGTGAGCAAGCTCTGTATAAATTTGCTGCAAATAGTTTGAGAAAGTACAGAAAGTTACCAGGGAAGACACCAGCAAATCCATCAGCTTTCTCTATGAGTTCATCGACAGGCAAAGCAACTATGGACTCATCCTTGTCCTGTCCAAGCAAAGCGGATGACGGGTACATGTTGGTTCCCATCCCCAAACGGCGCCCAGTCTCTTTTCCTATAGCCAGTTGATCCCCTAAAGAGAAACCTTAAGCCTTTTAACAAGGATATTATCTTGACAAGAAATGTCGAATTTGAATAAGGATCAGTACTTTGGAATATCAATATGAAATGGAAAGTTACAGATTGATAATTACCTGTGATTATTTTAACACTCACACCAAGATTTAAAGCCCTTCTAATCGTTTCAGCACTGTCATGCCTAGGCGGGTCAAAGAGAGGCATGAGTCCCACGAATTGCCAAGGACCTCCAGCACTATCCTTACTCCCATCAGGAACATCCTGAAAAAGTACAAAACCTTTTCAACCTTGAACTCTATATTAAACCTTGAACTCAAAAATTTTATCCCCAGTTACCTGGTACGCTACAGCAAGAGATCGTAGACCCCTTTCAGCAAACTTGTCAATAACACCATGAACTCTCCGCTCAATCTCTGATCTATTGTGTGCAAGATTTAAGATCTGAAACATTTTTCACAGAAGGTAATTCAGACTCTGCTCTAACTGATAATGGAAAAAAAGAAAGAATTATAGACATAACTGGCTACAAAGAGCTTACTTGCTCAGGTGCACCTTTGCTCACTCTATGTGTGTTACCCTCATTGTCAATATATGTCAGAGCCGTCCTCTTATCAGTAGGATTGAAAGGAAGGAAGTGAACCTCTTGGATACCAGCTCGTGCCTAGAGAAAACAGTTGACCATAAGCGCCAAAGAAAGAAACATAAAACAGAGGAAGCTTAGTAAAATCTTGAGTTAAGTGAAACCAAAGACCTCTTTAGGATCAGCTAGCATCCCGACTATAGCAGCATCTATAGCATCTTGGTTCTCTAGTCTGGAGGCTCGAGCAGCCATCAGGACAACAGTATCTGCATCCACTCCTTTCATGAAAACTTCGATAAGATTTTTGTCAACAGTGAGCTTATTTAATGTCAAAGTGCCAGTCTTGTCACTGCAAAGAACGTCCATGCCAGCCATTTCCTCAATGGCGGTCATTCTCTTAGTGATAGCTCCCTGCTGAGATAGTCTGTGGGAGCCGATCGCCATGGTCACAGACAGAACTGTAGGCATGGCAATGGGAATCCCACCAATGAGAAGCACAAGAAGGTTATCAATCCCAGGGCGGTATGCACGGTGTTGAATGGGATACATTACCACAATCTCAATGATCATCCCCACAGCAATAGAGCAGATGCAAAAGTTCCCAATTGCAGTTAAAACCTGCACATGAAACAAAGTCCATAATCTTGAAGCGAGTTCATAGATGAGGTGTGGGCGTTTAAGACGAAAGTCCCTGATAAAGAGAGTGAAATAAGACATGCCTGTTGAAAATGACCAACTTGGTTAGTCGTATCAACAAGGTGAGCAGCCTTCCCAAAAAAGGTATGAACTCCAGTTGCGATAACAACTGCTTCAATCTCTCCTTGTTTGCATGTTGAACCAGAATATACACCATCTCCAGGACTTTTAGTTACCGGTAGAGATTCACCAGTAAGAGTAGACTACACAGAAAAAATAAAGGTTTCTTAAAGACCATTTCTCTAGACATCCATTCAAAGTGACTAAAGATTGACGCTAAAGATGATCAGTTTCAAACCTGATCGATCTTAAGGGGATCACCCTCGAGAAGGCGTGCATCAGCTGGGACGATATCCCCAAGCTTGATGCTGATTATATCACCAGGAACGAGAATTGCAGCATCTTGCTCATTCCACCTTCCATCTCGAAGAACCTTTACATCGGTAGCATAAAGACAGAGAAAAAGAACATTTAACAAAGGATGGTTGAGGAGCTAACCGATAGATTGATACATTTTGAAACGAGTCAAAGAGTATCCAGAAAGGCAAAAAAAAAAAGAAAACAAACAAGACTCTGTTGTTTACAAACAATCGAAAACAAGGAAGCATATAAAAAACCTTTGCTTTTGGGGCAAGACGGGCCATGAGAGCAGCTGCAGCGTTTCCCGCATTGTTCTCCTCAATGAAACTGATGGTGGAGTTAATCACAAGAAGAGTGATAATACCAACAAAGTCTTGCCAATCAGGAGGTTTCCCCTGGTACACACACATCATCAAGAACAAACAACCAAATAAAGAAAATGAAAAGGAGCAGCAGAAACTTAAAAAGTAAGCTCTTAAAGAAAAGGTTGAAAGAGGGAAAAAACTGACTCCTCCATTAGCAAGAGCAATAGCCATAATAGCAGCAGCTTCCATCACCCAGGAAAGAGGGTTCCACATAAAACCTAAGAACTTAAGGAATTTGCTTTCCTTAAAAAAAAAAAAAAAAAGCATAAGAAGCCACAGGATTAAACAAGAAGTATAAAAGAAGAATATACAAAACAAACAAACAAACAAAGTGTGAAACCTTTTTCTCTTCAAGCTTGTTATGACCAAAGAGAGCAAGTCTGTCATCAGCAGCTTGTGTAGTAAGACCTTCCTTGCTACACCTCAGAGTCTCAAATACTTCTTCAATTGGCACGTTTTCCTGTAAGAAAATTAAACATAGTCTCAGAACCAATGTTTCTAACAGAATAACCGAATCAAGTAGAGACAGAGATATGTGTACGAGATCCACTGCTTCTTTCAGAACAGCCTCCAGGACCTCGTTATTGTCCTCCATAGTCTCGTCCCTGCTCACTGCAAACACAAATTTCAAGAATACGCCATGGATATAGAACTCTCAAGCAACAACAACGAAAAAAAGAAGAGGAAAACGTTACGAAAATATCAAATTATCGGCGAAAAGAAAAATAAGGAAATTTGGAAATCAAAGTAGCAAGAAATACAGATTGGTATTTGGCCAACAAAGTTGTAATGGGAGGAGGACGACGAAATCAAAGCGTAGAAGATGAGAAAACCGCTCAAAGGTTAGTAGTAGTAAGTGGCACTTTGAGAGAGACAGAGCTAAATAACACACACAGACACAGTCATCAAAGGAGGAGTCCAGAAACTCTGTTTTCTTTTATTCCATTTTTTTCTATTTCAAACCTACTTGTGCCGAATATTTTTCAAAGCATCAGTCAAGCGACAAAAGAAATACAAATAAAATTTTTATTTTTATTTTTATTTTTATCTAAACTGTGTTCCACAGTCCAAATTCAAACGCTCTTTAGCGTTTTAATTCCAAGTTGTAAAGAGATAAATATTTACAATTTTTATAATTTATACTATAGTTGAATAGTATCCTCTCTATCTATCGCAGTCAACAAAATATATATAACCATGCCAAAATCCTATCCACGAAATTTTCTCCTCGATTTGATCATTGTAAACTTGTTTGTATAGTACTCATCTAGTGTTGGTTTCGTTAACGTACAAAACAGTTTTAGTGATATAAAATTCGTAGGTTTTAAGTGAGAAGATATGTCATAACGATACTGTGGTGCATGTATGTGTATGTGTATGATGCATCAATGCTAGTGTATGGTGTTATTGATTTTGGATTCAAAACCTACAATTTCGTTTGACGTAGTTATAAAATGGAGATTAGAGACTGTTGTACGAACACCAGCATATTATTTACACGAGAGAACTTTTTCTTTCTTTTTATTTTATGTTTATATATACATGAGAAAGATTTGCCCAAAAGAAAAAAAATATATATGTACATGAGAAATATTTTACTGACCAACTAATAGTTTTGTGAATGAGTCAAGAAAAAGAAGCGTGGAAGAAAAGATGGTTAGAGAGCATTATTAATTATCCTACCTACATATATAGAGCAATGTTTCTTAGTCATTCGTCATACTGATGGACTAATTTAGTGAAGAGCCACTCCAATTCGAGGTAGATGTATTTTGGAAAATTATAGTTGAAGATAGATGATTACGTGCACGTAAGTGAAATTACACTTTGAAACGGATGTAATTGGTTCACAGTGGAAGTATAGTATTCCTTTTTTAGTTTCCGTAAATTTTGGTTAATGTAGTAGCTAGTAATGTTAAGAGAGCAATTTGTATTTGATACAATTATTTTCTGAATATTATTTCTTTATGTTTCGTCCTGTAATAAGTGATCATTTAGCTAGATGTGAGTAGTTTAGTGTATGGTTTGTCACACATTGTTGGTTTCATGCTAAGTTACTTTTTTATTATACGACTTATTTTCTCACCCATACATATATAGCAAAAGGAACATTGCCAATATAAATCATATAAAAAGAAAGTATATTGGTAATTAGGTAAAACATTCTTATAAAATTTTCATATAATGTATGTGGAGTTATCAAACTCCAAAGGTATAAGATTAGTGGGGAGACGATAGAGTTATCAAACTTATAATATTCTAATCCAACGAGATAAAAAAAAAAGAAAAGAAAGTAAAATCACATCTCAACGTGACACGATCCTTGTACTAGTTAAGGTTGGGGCCAAGTCAGGAAAATTGCACCACATGTGTTGGGGAGTGAGGTGAGGTGTCAAATATGTTTTTGATTCGAAACAAAACAAAACAACGACTCTCTCTCACTGTGCGCTGCCTTTATTGTCTTCTTCTTCTTCTTCTTCTCTTTTTTAAGATTTAAACAAATCGAGAATGTGCTAGTGTTCCGTACAGTACCCGTCCGTACTCCGTAGAGCTCTTTCACACTCCATATGATTTCCTTTTTATTTCATGATTATTATTCTTTTTTTCTCTTCAAAAAAATCAAATCATGACATTTTAGGGGAACATTGGGTTATTAGTGGACATGAAATTTCTAGTAAACTTTAAAGTTGTTAGGTTTTGAGATAAAAAGAACATGAACATCTTATACAAGTCATATCCACATTGTTAAGAGGAGATGTGATCCTTATCGACCTTGTGATTCTCGTTTTACGGAAGGATCCAACCTTCTGATTCTTAAAAATATGTAATTTGTTTTTTTTTTGTGTGTCATGAATCTAATTCTAAGAACTCTCACTTCCTTCCCACATTTCATGCCTTATATATTCCTCTTTGGCTCCTTAAATATATCAGTCTCAAACATTGTCTTGTGGACTTTTAATAATTATGGGCCTTTCATTCATTTAAGCCCATTTTTAAATTTTAAACCAAGTTAATACAGTTATCTTTTGTACTGTTGGTGTGTGAGAATGTTTTTAATTATCTGACATGTTGTTAACCAACACTCTTTAATTTGTTTTTAACAACATTTTGTTTCCTAAGAGAAACATGCGATATTTTGTATATTGATTCTTTTGTTTCAAAATATATATGTTTTTTTTTTTTTTTTGTAAAAAATATATATGTTTTTAAAATATGATATTATTGTTAACCAAGTTTGGAAAATATAAATGGTAAGAAACGTAACTATAATAGGCTAATAGCTAAAACTAAAACAGAATAAGATTTATAAGAAATCATAACATTTTCCTTATATATATAAAATTAAGAATGTTAAAATATGCCTAAAACAGATACAAATCTTTTTGGCTAAACAAAAAAGAATTTGAGTAAAATAGTAATTTTTTAACGGAAAGAAGACCCTTCCCTCTTCTTCCCTAGTCTCCACGCATCTGTTTCGCATTTTCCTCCTCCTTCCCCGGCGACGGCCAATCCTCGTGTAATCGCCGGCGAAGACTAGATTCTGTAATACTGTTTCAGTCATTTCGATATTCAGAGAGAGAGAGAGACATGGGTGTGGATTACTACAATATACTGAAGGTGAATCACAACGCGACGGAGGATGATCTCAAGAAAGCTTACAAGCGTCTCGCTATGATTTGGCATCCCGATAAGAACCCTTCGACTCGTCGAGACGAAGCCGAGGCCAAATTCAAACGGATCTCCGAAGCCTACGACGTTCTTTCCGATCCTCAGAAACGCCAGATCTACGATCTTTACGGCGAGGAAGGTCTCAAATCTGGCAAAATCCCTAATTCATCCGCGGCTTCTTCTTCATCGGAGGCTTCTTCTTCTTCTTCTTCTTCCTCGAGATATTCTCACTTTCATCAGCATAGGCAGCAGCATCCGCCTAACGCCGCGTCGTTTCGTTTTAACCCGAGGGATGCGGAGGATATCTATGCTGAGTTCTTTGGATCTGAAGGCGGAGGTGGAAGCAATGCTGCTGGGAGAGGAAACAGAACGTTTAGGAATGGTCATTTCAACACCGGCGGTGGTAATTACGGTACCAATGGCTATAACGGTGAGATGAGGAAAGCTCCAGCTGTGGAGAATCCATTGCCTGTGAGTTTGGAGGATCTGTATAAAGGTGTGAAGAAGAAGATGCGGTTATCTAGAAATGTCTACGATGCTTCTGGGTATGCCTTTCTTCTTTATCTCCCTCTCTATCTCTCTATATACTACATTCAGACCAGAATCCAGAGCTACAAGTATCTTTCCTTGAAGCATTGCAATTGTACACAGCTAATTGGATTGTTTTGGCTGAGAGAAGCTTATACTTTGAATATCTTCTTTGATCTCTGGATATGATTGTTATGCGTGATCACATTGAAGTTGTTGGATAGAAATAGCTTACTTTAAGTTGAAAATGGCATGTTTAGGTTTTTGAACAGAGTTACTGACTGGTCTTTGAATGAGACGTTTCCTTGAATTGACATAAGGGGATACTCGTTTATTTGGTGGTGATAGTTGTGGTATTACCCGCTTGTTGGTGGAAAATGTTTGCACAGATAGATGAATCTATTTTTGTTTCCTGTTGGTTGAACTGTGAGAAGATGTTTTAAGTGCAGGATGTTTAATACTGTTATGATTTGTGTTGCTCTCTGATCTTGTAGTAAAATGAGGGTCGTTGAGGAGATATTGCCTATAGATATAAAACCCGGGTGGAAGAAAGGTACAAAGCTCACATTCCCTAAGAGAGGCAATGAAGAGCCTGGAATCATACCGGCAGATATTATTTTCGTGGTTGAGGAGAAGCCACATCCAGTTTTCAAGAGAGATGGAAACGACCTTTTGGTCAGTCAAGAGATAACTCTACTTGAAGCCTTAACTGGTAAGACTGTCAACCTGATCACGCTTGATGGAAGGACTCTCATGATCCCACTAACCGATATCATCAAACCGGATCACGAGATTATTGTTCCAAACGAAGGAATGCCAATCTCTAAAGAACCTGGAAAGAAAGGTAACTTGAGATTGAAGCTTAGTGTGAGATACCCGACAAGGCTCACAACCGAACAGAAATCCGAGCTGAAGAGAGTTCTTGGTGGAGTCTCATGAAGAATTCAATGATGAATGTAGATAGCAAAAGTAGAGGAGATGATAGATTGTGAATGGTAGGAGAAATTCTTCTAAGGAGGCTTGGATTTGAAAGCCGAAGAACAAACACACTTTGCTTATGTTTTACTTCTCTTTGTTTGAAATTAGACTTTTTGCCCTTTGTTTAATTATTTCATTGATTTGATTTCGTTGCATTATAATGTTAGACAGTGTTAAGCCAAACATTAAGGTATGCTTTGTCACCTATTTATCTTATTTGATCAAATTTCCACTTCCCCCCACATATTATTGCTTATCTCTATAACTAGGTGTATGCTAAGCTTAGAGCAGATAGCTGAGTAATCAGAGTTATGGGTATCCTTCTGTTGCTTTTGGCATAGAGATCATTAAGGTCATAAAAAACTTTAAGAACTAAGTCTACAAAGTTTTCAGCGGAAGAGGTCTTAGACCAATACAATACCTACCATACACAAGCGAAGACATGCAGCCACAGCTTTGGCTGTCTAGCCTAGCCATAGAACCTTGTTCTACCAACTTGGAAAACTGAGATTCAGGAGTCGGAATAAACTCAACAAGAATGAGAAAGTGAGGAACAACATTTATTCATAGGATCTGTGAAAAGAGTAGTAAAACTCAAATGTACAGTTTTTGTGACAAATATATTGGCGTCACTCATTCCTTACCCTCTTCTTAACAACATTAATAGATGCAATAAAAGATGTATAGGAAGGATCCCAAAAAGAGGATATAACCTATTGATGGAAATGTTTTAAGCAGTGCTGGAGACTGGGAAGAGCTTTTCCACCATGTTGTTGGAGAGGATTCTATTTGGGTCCAGCTCCCTGCGTGCTTTGTTGTATGCATCCACTGGGAAACGTTTTCTCAATCTTGCTTGTAGGGCTTCAAGTTCCTCTTTATCCTTTGGTATCTGATTAATTAACGATCAAACAGAAAACTTTAGAAATTGTTTATATAGTAACCTCAACAGATGACCATCTCCTTTGCTTATTTTCAGAGTGATGACCATTGAAGTTCGAGCAGAAGAGATGTAGTAAGATAACGAGACTTTTGGTTCGTTCAGTTACAGTAACAGATCAGAAAGGTGAGTGACTCAGAAGGACATGAGTGGAAATGAATCAAATGATGGGATATGTGTGTCAAAAATTACCTCAATTTTAGCCCAATGTTCATACGCAGAATACTGATCCCACAATTGTTTCTGTGTCAAATGTCTATAGTGGAAAAACTCATCTGTGATGTCCTTCCTCTGGCGAGGATCTGCTGTTGGGAGGTACATAATAATACCAACCTGAGACACAATGTAATATGGCACATTATAAGTGTAGATGAATAGCATTTAAGAGAGAAAAAAAAGCGACAAACAGTTAGTGATGGAACAAGATTGGTCAACAGCAAGAATCTAGCCCCTAGGAGATGTAGCATCATTTCTACCAGCTTCTTCTTTGTGTATGAACAAATTTTAACATCAATATTTTAGATGTTTTCCTCCACCACAAAGGCAGAGGGGCACATAACAAGCTTCCCAGAGACTGACACCAATATATCACATTTTCATGAAAATGAATGAGAAGTAAATGAACGAATAAAGAACAACAGAAAACATGAGTTACCCATGAGAAAATGTCATCCTCTCCAGTGCTGAATGCAGGACTTATGGGACTCTTACTTCGAGCAGTCCATCGCTGCTCTATTGGAGCAGGTGCTGGTATTGCTTCCTTTTCTATTAGTTTCTTCAGCTCCTCTATGTATTCAAGGTCTTTCATGCTAGGGTTGGCAAGGGTTCCAGCAGGAAAACAAGATTCTGATACCCACTGTTGACCACCACAGTCAAAGCCCAGAATTTCATCACTCCACCCTACTCTATATCCTTCTGATTTTTTCCAAAACTCCGCCTCGGCCTGATTTACTTTTGCAACATGAACATCATTGAGAGGATCGAGGGCAAGTAACTTATCTCTCAGCTCGGTAAATGAAAGCTCATTTATGTCTGGCTCACTGCTGTCAGGAAGCTTCTTACTAGAGTCCTGGACCCTATCCATAATGGTGAAAAGTTATTTTGTATTTCATTCTGTCCTCCACATTAGAGAAAGCAAGTTAGACATAAGACTCAAAGCATAACGATACCTATATTTAACAATGCTCTCTCTATAGAGATCACGGACATGCTGTACAGCCTCATCTGTAGTATACTTTGGTTTGCCCTTAGGTGGCCCACTCCATTTTGATACAGGGTTGCATGTTACAACCACGACTGTGTCGGTATAAGGAATATATAGGTACTTAACATGCTTATTGGCAGAGAGCAATTTTCTGAACAGACAAAAAGAAAAAAAAAAGTTAGGTAACGTTCCACCCTGAGCCACTTAATGGGATCCATTTGCATCATAGTAGAGGGAGTGCTTTCCCAAATGCTAGAATGCACTATGCCAAATGAATTGGGGAGTAACTAGAAAGTGAACAAAACTTAAGGCTCTTGCATCAACATAATACTTGTTCTCTAATAAACTGACCAGAAGCAACTGAACATGATTTTGCTTGGCTGGAGGCACAATATCAAAACTAAGATAACGAAAGGTAGCAACACTTAACTTGTGATTTTTCTTGATTTCTTGCAAGTTTGAGACGTATGTGTGCTCCACAAGTTCATGTCTTTCAACACACTGGAGGGTGACCTCAGCAACAACTCCAAGTCCACCAAGACCACATCGAGCTAAATGAAAGAGCTCTGGATCTTTGTCTATTGAGAGTTCAATTGTTCCCTTTGCAGGAGTGATCAGCTTCAAACTGATGACCTGCTCATCAATAGGTGGCAATCTAGCGCCTGTCCCATGTGCCCCAACCTGAACATAAACAAGAATTTAGAGCCTAAAACTCAAAGCACAAGATGGAGACGAACAACTAAAAATTGATTCAGACTCTCCTTTAGTTTCACAACCCAAGAATTCAAACAAGGAACAGAAGAGTATGCAAACCTGAATAATGCCACCAATCTGCTGCTCTCTAATGGAAGCAAAGTTCTGAAGAGTCAAACCATAGTCTTTAATAGCGTCAACCAATTGCTGGACCCTAATCCCAGCCTGCACCGTAACTCTCTTCTTCTCTTTATCCACCTCAAGAACTTTATCCATGAGCGCCAAGTTCACCATCCCGGAGCGAGACAAGCCAATCCCATTTGGTGAGAGACCCGATCCAACGGGTCGAATCCTTAACTTCTTCTCATGAGATTCCTTGACCAGCGCTTCGAGATCAGCAATATTCTCCGGTTGATTGAAGTTCCTAGTCTGTACCTCATGAGTGCCACTCCAATTGGAGACAGTGTGAAGATCTTCAGGCAAAGGAGCGTAACGGAAGATTTGAGCCTTCTTGTGCTTAGCATTTTCAGGGAACGGAAACGAGTAATAGGTAGCAACTCCGCTGAATACAGCGAGTGCTGCGTAACCGGCGTATTTACGAAATTCGGCTTCTGAGGCTGTAGACGAAACCGGAGGCGGAGGACGTGGCGGCGGCGGCGGGGGAGGAGTCAATGTTTGACCGGAAGTGCAGAGAGCACGGAGAGGCGAAAATGAAGGGCGGATGGTGGATGAAGACGGAGATAGAGTTCCGAGGGAACGACCGACGGAGCGTCGGAGAACAAGTGACCAGAGCATTTTTGTTTAACTTCAGGCGATCTGAACCTGAGCGAAAGGTTCTTTGTACAGTAGAAAGGATCGGGTTTAAGAAAGTTTCCACTTATGCCCTGCTACTATTTCTACTTTTATAATTTGAGCCGTTATAATTTGTTTATGATCAAATTAGCCCCCAAATCCCAATCTTTAATAAGACGGTTCGACCGCACCGCTTCACAGACAAAACATAAACCGAACCGGTGTGTAACCGCAATGTAAATCTCATCAGTTTGTACCAAAAAAAATTCCCCTTTTTCTCTCATTATTTACATTTTCGATTTAATGATTATTTTCGCCTGGCTTGGCTTTGAACTCTACACAAGAGCACAACGACGACTCTTTGTTCTACTCTCTCTATCTTTCTCCCTTCACCTGCTTTCTCCGCCGATCATACGCCGTACTTCTCCGCCGTAATCTCCGAGGCGACGCCATGTTGACTCTAATTTAATTTCTCTTTTGACTATCTTTACGCATTTGCTGGGGCGTATATAACACACACACACGCGCGTATACATGCGGATAAAATTAGGGGTTTTGAGCTGAATCGTGGATGGGTCAGAAGAAGAAAACCCCCTCGTCTCGCTCCAAAAAATCGCCGTCGGCGACGGTGACAGTGACAGAGGTGGTGCCGTCTGAGATATCCGGTTCTAGCTTTAGTGAGGGTGGTATTCCCGGACCAGACGCTAATGTGGAGCCGTTGGATTCACCTGACATCAAGCTGGAATGCGACAAGGCACTCAAGTCATTTGGGCGGGGGAGCTACAACAAAGCGATTCGTCTTATTAAGGAATCGTGCTCTCGCCATCAACACTCTGCCCTAGTCCACCGAGTTCAAGGAACTTTGTGCGTCAAGGTTGCTGCTGTCTACGAAGATCAAGCTACCAAACAGAAGTATCTTCGGACTGCGATTGAATCTGCTAGAAAGGCTGTGGAACTGTGTCCCACCTCGATTGAGTTTGGGCATTTTTATGCCAACTTGCTTTACGAGGCTGCCAACGATGGGAGAGAGTATGATGAGGTCGTGCAAGAGTGCCACCGTGCTCTCTCCATTGAAAATCCGATTGATCCTGCTAAAGGGAGTCTGCAGGATGAGACTCAGCTGAAGATATTGACACCTGAGGCTCGTATTGCACATGTCCAGGATGAGCTCAGGTCTCTGGTACAAAAATCTAACATTGGTTCATTGTCCACTTGGATGAGTAACCTGGGAAAAGGTGATGAGAAGTTTCGGTTGATCCCCATTAGGAGAATGGCCGAGGATCCTATTGAGAGTAACTTGATTCAGACCAGGAGGCCGAATGAGATTAAAAAAGCTACCAAGAGTCTTGAAGAGATAAGGAAGGAGGTTGAAGTGAGGGTAGCTGCAGCTAGGTTGATACAGCAGAAATCAGAGTCTTTAGCAGCGGAGAATGTTGGAACTGTTGACAACAAGGGATCCGATGCAACACTAGGCGCCGGGCCAAGAAGCGGTGAGAGGAGAAAGCATGGAAATGCAAGGAAAAACGGCTCCACAGCAGATAGAAGGGATCGGGTTAGGTCATACTGGGATTCTATGAGCAAAGAAATGAAGAAAGAATTGCTTCGAGTAAAGGTTAGCGATCTTAAGAGTCACTTTAGTGCTTCAAAGGATGAGGATGCAAATGAGATTATAAGTGAGGCACTGTCGTTTTGTGAGGGCAGTAAGACTTGGAGGTTCTGGCTTTGCTGCCAGTGCAGTGAGATGTTCATGGATTCTGAGGCTCATATGCAGCATATTGTGCAGGTGCACATGGGTAATGTTGTACCTAAGATGCAAATGGTTCTGCCTCAGAGTGTTGACACTGAGAGGATTGATATGCTTTTTAGTTCCCCATGGAAACCGATGGATCTCTCTGCTGCGGTTAAATTGCTTCGCAGCCAGCAGAAAATCCAAAATTTTGAGTTTAATGAGTTCCACTCTGGCGACAATATCGAAGATGGTGACGACTGCTTCAAGGATGCATGGAATGATACTTCACCAGAGCAAGAAAGCCTTGAAGATGCTTGCAACGGTTGTGGTGAGAATGATTCTGAAGAGGGTAAGCTGTCGATCGCATTTCCTCCTCCTGATGGATGGCCATTATCTGATGATCCTGAACGTGCAAAGCTCCTTGAAAAAATCCGTGCAGCCTTTGAGCTACTTATCAAACACAAATATTTAGCTGCCAGCCATCATGATAAGGTGATACAATTTACTGTTGATGAACTCCAGAATCTACCCGCTGTGTCACAATTCGTAAATCGTAGCTCGAACCAGTCACCCATATGCATCTGCTTTCTGGGAGCTTCCCAACTCAGGAAAATTCTCAAATTCCTGCAGGACTTGTCTCAGGCCTGTGGTTTGAGTCGATATTCTGAACAAAGTAACCCCAATGATGAAATTAATCTTGGCGACCTTGGCCGTGAAGTTACAGAGGAGATTCTTTTTGATGCTGAAGATTCCTGTCTTCTTCTGGATGAAAAATTGCTTCTCACGGAGTTCATCCAAGAGAAATTTATGGGCTCACTATTGCATAATGTAGTTATAGCAAGTTCTGGAGATATTACTAATGGCAATAATGTGTCTTCTGGTGCGGATGGATTTCTTTCATGGATCTTCAGAGGACCCTCTAGTGAGGAACAAATTGTGTCATGGATGCGCACAAAGGAAGAGAAATCAAACCAAGGGATGGAGATCATGCAGATTCTTGAAAAGGAGTTCAGTCACTTGCAGAACTTGTGCGAGAGAAAATGCGAACACTTAAGCTACGAGGGAGCACTGCAAACTGTTGAGGAGCTTTGCCTTGAAGAGTGCCGGAAGAGGGAAATTTCAGCAGAGTTTACCCATGAAAGCTATGAAACTGTGCTGAGGAAACGAAGAGAAGAGCTAAATGAGAGTGACCATGAGTTGATGTTTATCAGTAGTAGGTTTGAGTTAGATGCTATAACAAACATTCTGAAAGATGCAGAAACTCTTAACCAGAATCAATTTGGATATGAAGAATCATATGGCTGCACGAGCTCTCAGCTACGTGATATGGAATCTGGTGAAGCTGATGAATGGGGGATGAAGGATTCCTTACATGAGGCTGACAGTTTCATAGAGATTGCGATCCAGAAACAAAAAGAGCAGTTGTCTGCAGAGGTAACCTTTTCTATCTTTACGCAAAAAGGCTGCGATAATTTTTTACTTCCTCTCTGCTTTAAAAAATACTCTGTACATGTGCTATCGCAGCTTAGCAGAATCGATGCGCAAATGATGCGAATTGTCACTGGGATGCAGCAGTTAGAGCTAAGGCTTGGACCAGTTTCCTCCAATGATTATCAGATAGTATTGTTGCCGTTGGTGAAGTCCTACATGCGGGTAAGTATCCAACCCTTTAGACCTTGTTATGTTTTCTTTTATTGATTGCGGTGTTCTTCCAGTTTCTAATTGGCATTGCCATCTTAATTTCTCCCTCTCTCTCTCTCTCCTCCCCTCCCCTCCAGGCACATTTGGAGGCATTGGCAGAGAAAGATGCCACTGAGAAGTCTGATGCTGCAAGAGACGCATTACTGGTTGAGCTCGCTCTTGATTCTAAGAAGGAGTCTCGAGGGAGAAATGACAATTCAAAACACACACTGGAAAAGTCCAAGGACAAGAAAAAGGTTAAAGACACTAGGAAACTGAAGGATATGAAGGTTTGAACTAATCTGTTGTTTACTTTTTAGGTATTTTTTGTATATCTTTGTAACTATCTTTAATGTTTTGTTATAGGGTACTATTGGAAATGACCATCGCTCCAATGTTGACTCAATTGAACGCAGGTGAAGATCTGCTTGGTGCATAATTTTTTAATAAGATGGTGTAACCGGCAAAATCATTGTTTCTGAAAAAATTGGTGGTGAATAATCTGTTGTGATAATTTCTTGTTCCAGCCTCCTTCAGGTTGCATCATTTGGTGACCATTCAGAGGCTGAAGTTGTTTCTGAAGCTGTTGAAGCTTTAAAAGAACAGGAAGAGGAACACAGACGCCAAATAGAGCTAGAGGAGGAGGAGAGAAAACTTGAAATTACTCTGGAGTACCAGAGAAAAATTGAGGATGAAGCCAAGGAGAAGCACATTGCAGAACAACAAAAGAATTATAGCTCTTCAGTTCCCATGAATGTTGCAAAGGCAGTGTATAATGTTTGCACAGATAATGTAGTTGATGATTTAGATTTACAAGAACATGAAAAATCCATAAATAAGGTAAAAATAGGGGGACAAGGTTGTGGTTCTTTTAATCAACATTTGAATTGATTTCTTGTTTTCTTTGGTTTACCAGGTGAAAAGGAATGGACGACTTGATTCCTTGGAAGGAGCCAGAGTGAATACAAATGGTGTTTTCCAGTCAACAAATCATTGTGCAATATCTGATACTGCAAAGATGCAGGATTTAAATTCCCGAAAAGGTTAGCACTGGTCTTCGAATATGAATATATGTGTTTACTAACCATTCTGTGGCACTCATACTTATTTTATTTATTTTCTTTTTGTTGCAGCAGTGCCTAACGGTACAGCTATGCAAGCTGGTGTTTTCCAATCTGACCAACGCACTGGGAGGAGAAGTAGACGCCAAAAAGCTTCAAACAAGTTAGTTGATGGAAAATATCAGGTCACATCTTCTGAAACCGAGAAAAGTAAATCTAAGTGGTCAGGCATCGACGGTGAGAGACAACCTGAAACACTACTTAGCAATGGTGGTAAGTCATTTTGGGTTTTTTTTCTTTTCATTTTCGTCCTAGATCGTTCTCTTTCTCTCGTGTTGCAAAGCATTGATAGTTGTGATGTATAGATGATCTGATATGGATCTAGATTTGTTTGATCTTATTGTTTTTCCGACCTCTGATATTAGATGTGACCAACTAAGGCACAAATGAATATGCTCTCATCTGTTAGAATTAATGAAACAGTTAGATCTGTTAAAACTGAAACTTCTGTAACTAGTGTATCTTGTTTTCTGCATTTATGTCAACGAGGAAGGACAGTGTCGACATTGATTTTTAGCAATTTTTTTCTAACATCATTCATCTTGCATTCCAGATGTGGGAACAAAGACATTAAGACAATTACAAGCTGAAGACGATGAAGAAGAAAGGTTTCAAGCTGACCTTAAAAAGGCAGTGCTTCAAAGCCTTGGTAATTTTCCAAACATCCCTGTTTATATATCATGTCTGACCGTAACATTTTGTGTTATTTTCTAAGTGCCCATTTTGTGACTAAATATTGTCTGACTGCTATGCAATTGGTATGAAGAATGGGTTATTGTGTATCCCACTTTTCTTCATCTCAGGGCATGTTTAAAGTATCTAATTATTTCAGATGTCTTAAATTATTTTTCATCATGTTTTAGTTATGCAACAGCTACTACCTTTCTCTATATTGTCATCTATTGCTCTCTAATCATTTTGTGGTGACAAAAGCCCTTAATAGGAAGCATCTGACACCAGAACATTTTGTTTACCCAGACGCGTACCAAGGAGGTAGAAATTTGTCGACACCTCTGGAAGTAAACAATAATGGGGGTTTATCTTCTGTCACAATGGAGTCTTTGGGCTCAACCGGAGATGTCATATTTGGCACAGGTCTTCAAAATGAAGTTGGCGAATACAATTGCTTTTTGAATGTTATCATACAGGTAACCCATACTTCTCATAAACTGTTTGTTTTCTCGGGTATTCAGTATGGATAATGTCCAGCACAGTTGATTTCTCTTTGCTGAAAGCCATTTTCTTTTCTTTTTGATCTTAGTCACTATGGAATCTGGAGCTGTTTCGAACTGAGTTCTTACGGAGTTCAACATTAGAGCACCATCACGTGGGAAATCCTTGTGCTGTCTGCTCTTTGTATGAAATTTTTACTGCCTTAAGTGCTGCTTCAAGTGAATTACGAAAAGAACCTGTGGCTCCCTCATCTCTTAGGATTGCTTTGAGTAACTTGTATCCAGATAGCAGTTTCTTTCAAGAGGTAAAGAAATTGATCTCTGGTTTTGCAGAGTAAGCTTTTTGTTTTCACAAAGGAGCCTAACCTGGGCGTCATATGGTGTACAGGCTCAGATGAACGATGCTTCAGAAGTATTGGCTGTAATCTTTGACTGCCTTCATCGCTCGTTTGCTCAAAGCTCAAGCATGTCTGACACAGAATCTGCTGAGAGCAACAGTACGGGTTCATGGGACTGTGCCAATCGTACATGTATTGCCCATTCTCTGTTTGGAATGGATATTTTTGAGCAACTGAACTGCTACAGCTGTGGGCTGGAGTCCAGGCATATGAAGTACACTTCCTTTTTCCATAACATCAACGCTAGTGCCCTACGCACGATGAAGGTAAAAAGGAATGCTAATTTTAAAATTATTTAGTAGACTCGAAATTTCGTATATTTTCAGATAACTCCTTGTTGTATTCCCCACTTTATGCCGTGTAGGTTACATACCCTGAGAATTCATTTGACGAACTTCTAAATCATGTCGAGGTGAACCATCAACTAGCTTGTGATCCCGAAGCTGGTGGGTGTGGGAAACCCAACCATATCCACCATATTCTGACCACTCCACCAAATGTTTTTACAACAGGTAAAACTTGTTGTGTTAGGATTTTGAGGAGTGCAAAGTTTTTTCAGATCACTGATACTTTTGTCTTGACATTAATCATTTTGGGGCTGGCAGTTTTAGGGTGGCAAAACACATGTGAGACTGTCGAAGACATAGCAGATACTCTTGCAGCCTTGAATACCGAGATAGACATCAGCATCATGTACCGTGGTCTGGACCCTAAGAGCACATATAGCTTAGTTTCCGTGGTACGCATTATTCTTCTTTCCCTATGACATTAGCAGAAGAGTGGTATTGAACGTAAAACCAACTGTAGTTTTTATTATCCTTGTATGTCTCCCCCCTAAAAACTTAACGTTGTTTTTCTGCTATTTTTGCAACTCCAGGTTTGTTATTATGGACAACATTATCATTGTTTTGCATATAGTCATGAGCACGATCAGTGGATCATGTATGATGACAAAAATGTGAAGGTAAGACTATCAATACAATGGCCTTTACAGGCAGATACACTCATAATAGACATTATCACCCAGTTAATTGTAATATCATCAGGTGATCGGTAGCTGGAGTGATGTTCTTTCTATGTGTAAAAGAGGACACTTGCAACCACAGGTTCTCCTCTACGAGAAGCGTTAAATCAAAAAGAAGCAAAAGAAAAACAAACAAAGTAGAGTTCTGTTGCTACAGTTTAGGAGATCCGGCAAGTACATACTACAAAAGAAGTAAGTATGTTTTTTTTTGACAATCAGAATGAAAACTACTAGAGGAAAGAAGAATGCAATTTGCTCGTCCCAGTGGTTCTAACATCTTAGAGGATGGGGAAGAAGATTTTGTCTTAAGATACCTCATGTAGTTTTCTCGGTTAGATCCTTGTCGCATTAAGGATTTGATTATATGTCCATATTATTATATATAGCCTTCGATTTCGTCGGTCATCTCTAATCTCTATAGATCATATATTCATATATCTTATCTTAACAACCAACTCAAGTGAAGTTAAAAGTTTGGAAAGAAATTGCAGAAACCCTAATCCAGTGAAATGTCTATATATCATCTTCTCACTAAGGCTTTTTTTTTTTTTTTTGGATTTTTAAGTACCTGTTTCTTCCACTTATCTCCATGGAACAATATGCTACAACTGAAACATGGAAGAACTGAAATCTTAGATCAAAACACTATGTATGGATGGTATGAGCTGCCTAAACAAGAATTCTTGAACAGTGAACAACCAAATTTAAGAATCTATGACTATGTGAATATGTCGAGGATTAACTGAAACGTACTCATAAAAAACTATCAATCAAAATCATCAATAAATTATATAATCTCAATTGGAAAAAATAAAACAGAGGGGTTCAGCAAACCGATTGGTTATACCGCTATCTGGTTAAACCATAAATACGGATGGGTTAACTCAAATGAGTGAACCGGGCGTGTAATCTTTTTACGGTTTAGTGTGATTTGCTGCTCCATAGCGAAAGAGAGAGAGAGAGAGCTACAACGACTCTTGTTCTACTCTCTGTCTCTCTATCTATCTCTTTCCCCTCACCAACTCTCCTCGGCGTATTGCGTTGCCGGAATCTCCGAGGCGACGCCGTCTGTAATTTCATCTCCGATTTGAACATCTTTGCGCGCATTTGGTGGGGCTTATATGTATCTGAGTATTCTTCATGCCGATTAATTTAGGGGTTTTAAGCTGATTTTCGTGGATGGGCCAGAAGAAGAAAACCCCGGCGCCGTGGGATTCGGCTGTGATCAAGCTAGAATGCGAGAAGGCACTCAAGTCATTCGGGCGGGGGAGCTACAACAAGGCGATTCGTCTCATTAAGGATTCGTGCTCCCGCTATCAAGACTCTGCCCTAGCCCACCGTGTTCAGGGAACTATCTGCGTCAAGGTTGCTTCTGTCTACGAAGATCTAGCTACCAAACACAAGTATCTCCGCAATGCAATTGAATCTGCTAGAAAGGCTGTTGAGTTGTCTCCCAATTCGATTGAGTTTGGCCATTTTTATGCCAACTTGCTCTACGAGGCTGCAAACGATGGCAAGAGAGATTACGACGAAGTTGTGCAAGAGTGCCAACGTGCTCTCTCCATTGAAAATCCGATTGATCCTGCTAAAGAGTCTCTTCAGGATGAGACTCAGCTGAAGATATTGACACCTGAGGCTCGTATTGCACATGTCCAGGATGAGCTCAGGTCTCTGATACAGAAATCTAACATTGGTTCTTTGTCCACTTGGATGAGTAACCTGGGAAAAGGTGATGAGAAGTTTCGGTTGATTCCCATTAGGAGAATGGCTGAGGATCCTATCGAGAGTAACTTGATTCAGAATCAGACCAGGAGGCCGAATGAGATTAAAAAGGCTACCAAGAGTCTTGAAGAGATAAGGAAGGAGGTTGAAGTCAGGGTAGCTGCAGCTAGGTTGATACAGCAGAATTCAGAGTCTTCAGCAGCGGAGAATGTTGGAACTGTTGACAACAAGGGATCCGATGCAACACTAGGCGCCGGGCCAAGAAGCGGTGAGAGGAGAAAGCATGGAAATGCAAGGAAAAACGGCTCCACAGCAGACAGAAGGGATCGGGTTAGGTCATACTGGGATTCTATGAGCAACGAAATGAAGAAAGAATTGCTTAGAGTTAAGGTAAGTGATCTTAAAAGTCACTTTATTGCTTCAAAGGATGGGGATGCAAATGAGATTATAAGCGAAGCTCTCTCTTTTTGTGAGGCCAACAAGACATGGATTTCTTGGGTTTGCTGCCGGTGTAATGAAAAGTTCATGGATTCTGAGGCTCATATGCAGCATATTGTGCAGGTGCACATGGGTAATATCATACCTAAGATGCAGATGGTTCTGCCTCAGAATGTTGACACTGAGAGGATTGATATGCTCCTTAGTTCCCCATGGAAACCATTGGATCTCTCTGCTGCAGTGAATTTGCTTATCAGTCAGCAGAAAATCCAAAACTTTGAGTTTAATGAGATTCACTCTGGAGGAGATAATATGGAAAATGGTGACGACTGCTTCAAGGATGCATGGAATGATACTTCACCAAAGAAAGAAAGCCTTGGAGATGCTTGCAACGGTTGTGATGAGAATGAATCTGAAGAGGGTAAGTCATCGATCGCATTTCCTCCTCCTGATGGATGGCCAATATCTGATGATCCTGAACGTGCAAAGCTCCTTGAAAAAATCCGTGCAGCCTTTGAACTACTTATCAGACACAAATACTTAGCTGTCAGCCATCATGATAAGGTGATCCAATTTACCTTGGATGAACTCCGGAATCTACCCTCGGTTTCACAATTCGTGAATCATAGCTTGAACCAGTCACCCATATGCATCTGTTTTTTGGAAGCTTCCCAACTCAGGAAAATTCTCAAATTCCTGCAGGACTTGTCTCAGGCCTGTGGATTGAGTCGATATTCTGAACAAAGTAACCCCAATGATGAAATTAATTTTGGTGACCTTGGTCGTGAAGTTACAGAGGAGATTCATTTTGATGCTGAAGATTCATGTCTTCTTCTGGATGAAAAATTGCTTGGCACTGAGTGCTTCCAAGAGAAATTTATGGGCTCACCATTCCATAATGTAGTTATTGCAAGTTCCGGAGATATTGCTAATGGCGATAATGTGTCTGCTGGTGCGGATGGATTTCTTTCATGGATCTTCACAGGACCCTCTAGCGGTGAACAAATTGTGTCATGGATGCACACAAAGGAAGAGAAAACAAACCAAGGGATGGAGATCATGCAGATTCTTGAAAAGGAGTTCAGTCACTTGCAGAACTTGTGTGAGAGGAAATGCGAACACTTAAGCTACGAGGGAGCTTTGCAAACTGTTGAGGACCTTTGTCTTGAAGAAGGCCGTAAGAGGGAGACTTCAGCAGAGTTTACCCATGAGAGCTATGAAACTGTGCTGAGGAAACGAAGAGAAGAGCTAAATGAAAGTGACCATGAGTTGGTGTTTATAAGTAGTCGGTTTGAGTTAGATGCTATAACAAATGTGTTGAAAGATGCAGAAACTCTTAACCACAATCAATTTGGATATGAAGAAACATATGGATGCACGAGTTCTCAGCTACGTGATCTGGAATCTGGTGAAGCTGCTGTGTGGGGGATGAGGGATTCCTTACATGAGGCTGACAGTTTTATAGAGATTGCGATCCAGAAACAAAAAGAGCAGTTGTCTGCAGAGGTAACCTTTTCTATCTTTACGTAACACGACTGCGATAATTAATAACCACCTTTCTGCTATAAAAATACTATGTACGTGTGTTATTACAGCTTAGCAGAATTGATGCGCAAATGATGCGAAATGTCACTGGGATGCAGCAATTAGAGCTGAAACTTGGACCAGTTTCCTTCATCGATTATCAGATAGTATTGTTACCTTTGGTGAAGTCCTACATGCGGGTAAGCATCTAACTCTTTAGAACTTATTATTTTTTCTTCCCTTTGCTGTGTTCTTTCAGGTTCTAACTCTTTACACCTTGTTACTCTCTCTGCCAGGCACATTTAGAGGCGTTGGCAGAGAAAGATGCCACTGAGAAGTCTGATGCTGCAAGAGAAGCATTACTTTTTGAGCTTGCTCTTGATTCTAAGAAGGAGGCTCGAGGAAGAAATGATAATTCAAAACACATGCTAGAAAAGTCCAAGGATAAGAAAAAGATTAAAGACACTAGAAAACTGAAAGATTTAAAGGTGCGAACTTATCTGTTGTCAACTTCTAAGGTATTTCATGTATATATGTGTAACTAGCTTTCATGTTTTGTCATAGGCTACTATTGGAAACGACCATCGCTTCAATGGTGATTCAACTGAACATAGGTGAAAATCTGCTTTCTTAAAAAAATTTTAGTTAAGCTGGTGTATAGAATTTTTTTGTTTCTATAAATTTTGGTGTTGGAATAATCTGCCGTTGATGTTCTTGATGATTTCTTGTTCCAGCCAACCTTCTGTTGCATCTTTTGGTGATCATTCAGAGGCTGATGTTGTTTCTGAAGCCGTTGAAGCTTTAAATGAACAAGAAGAGGAATACAGACGCCGTATAGAACTAGAGGAAGAGGAGAGGAAGCTTGAAAAGACCCTAGAGTATCAAAGAAGAATTGAGAATGAAGCTAAGGAGAAACACATCGCAGAACAGAAAAAGAAATACAGCTCTTTAGTGCTGATGAATGCGACAGAGGCAGTGTATAATGATCGCATAGAAAATTTCGTCGATGATTTAGATTTACAAGAACCTGAAAAATCCATAAATCAGGTAACAATAGAGTGACAGGGTTGTGGAGTTGTGATTCTCGTAATCATCACTTGAAGTTAATGTCTGGGATTCTTTTCTTTACCAGGAGAAAAGGAATGGACAACTTAATCACTTTGAAGTAGCCAAAGTGAATATAAATGGTGTTATCCCGGCAGTAGATCATTGTTTGATATCTGATGTTAAAAAGGTGCAGGATGTAAAATCCCAAGAAGGTTAGCACTGGTCTTCGAATATGAAATTATGTGTCTACTGACTTTTCTGAGGCACTTACATTTTTTTTTTTTTTTTTTGTGTGTTGCAGTAGTTCCTAATGGCATAGCTATTCAAGCTGGTGTTCTGCAATCTGATCAACGCATTGGGAGGAGAGGTAGACGACAAAAAGCTTCAAACAAGTTGGGTGATGGAAAATATCAGGTCACACCTTCTGAGAGCGAGAATAGTAAATCTCAGAGGTCAGACACCGAATGTGAGGGACAATCTGAAAGTCTATGTTGCAATGGTGGTAAGACTTTTTTTTTGTTTCTCCATTCGTATCCTAGATTCTTCTTTGTGACATTGTTTTTATCTCCCTGACGTGTAGATATCTAGCTTTGTTTTCCTCAGCTTATTGATATTTCGAACTTATATTAGATGCGCTTGGGAAGACCATTAAGGCACAAATGAAACTGCTTATATCTATTGGAACTAATGAAATAGTATAAATATGCCTCTGTAACAAGTGTCTTGATTTTTTGTTTCTTTCAACGAGTAATGACAGTCTTTCAACGAGTATCTTTTTTGATGCATTCAATATTTTATCCTTGTGATGTAGATGCGGGAACAAAGACATTAAGACAATTACAAGCTGAAGACGATGAAGAAGAAAGGTTTCAAGCTGACCTTAAAAGAGCAGTACTTCAAAGCCTTGGTAGGTTTTCAACCATCCTTGTTTATATATCATCTCTGGCGGACTATGTCATTTGTATGAAGAATGGTTTATTATATATCCCCTTCTCACCATCTTAGGACACATTATTTTATATGATACTTGTAGGCATATTGATTAGATGTCTTAAACTAATTGTTTATCATTTTTCTACCTTTCTTTCAAAATTTTCATTTTTCAACATATTTGTTCTGTGGTAATTTTGGTGTGACAAATCCCCTCAATATGAAGTATCTGACACCAGAACATTTTGTTTGAACCCAGACGTATACCAAGGAGGTAGAAATATGACTTCATATTTGAGGACACCCCTGGAAGTAAATAATGATGGAGTTCTATCTGTTGTCACAATGAAATCTCAGAACACGACCGAGGTTGCCTTGTTTGGAACTGGTCTTCAGAATGAAGTTGGGGAATACAATTGCTTTTTAAATGTTATCATACAGGTAACCTTCAGTACTTCATTTCTCATAAACTGTTTGATTTCTTGGGTATCAGTATCTATAGTTTCTTATGTATTCCATATTTAATTTTTATTTTTTATACTTTTATTATGATCTTAGTCTCTATGGAATCTGGGGCTGTTTCGCACTGAGTTCTTGCAGAGTTCAACACTAGAGCACCATCACGTGGGAGAACCCTGTGTTGTCTGTTCACTGTATGAAATTTTTACTGCTTTAAGCGCGGCTTCAAGTGAAACACGAAAAGAACCGGTGGCTCCTTCATCTCTCAGGATTGCTTTGAGTAACTTGTATCCAGATAGCAGTTTTTTTCAAGAGGTAAGGGAATTGATCTCTGGGTTTACAGAGTAAGCATTTTGTTTTCATAAGGAGTCTAAACTTGGGTGTCATATGGTGTACAGGCTCAGATGAACGATGCTTCCGAAGTATTGGCTGTAATCTTTGACTGCCTTCATCGCTCATTTGCTCAAAACTCAAGCTTGTCTGACACAGAATCTGCTGAGAGCAACAGTACGGGTTCATGGGACTGTGCTAATCGCACATGTATTGCCCATTCTCTGTTTGGAATGGATATTTATGAGCAACTGAACTGCTACAGCTGTGGGCTGGAGTCCAGACATTTGAAATACACATCCTTTTTCCATAACATCAATGCTAGTGCCCTACGCACCATGAAGGTAGCATATGAGTGCTCATTAGACTGGCTTTATGATGTATATTGTTAGATAATTTACTGTGATTTTTTCCCACTTTGTGCCTAATAGGTTACCTTCGCTGAAAAGTCATTTGACGAACTTCTAAATCTTGTCGAGATGAACCATCAAATAGCCTGTGATCCTGAAGCTGGTGGGTGTGGGAAACCCAACCATATCCACCATATTCTCACCACTCCACCTCATGTTTTTACTACAGGTAAAACTTGTTATTTTGATGAATGTAAATTTGTTTTCAGATCAATGATATTTGTGTTTTGACACTATTGATTCTGGGGCTGGCAGTTTTAGGGTGGCAAAACACATGTGAAACTGTAGAAGACATAGCAGCTACTCTTGAAGCCTTGAATACAGAGATAGACATCAGTATCGTGTACCGTGGTCTAGACCCTAAGAGCACATATAGCTTAGTTTCCATGGTACAAATTTCTTCTTCTTCCCTGTGATATCATATAACCAGAACAATGGTCACAAACTTGAAACCGAATGTGTGTTTTCATTGTTTGCTTTCTTTCACCCTAAAACCCTCCCGCCCTTTTGTTTATTTTTCTCCAGGTTTGTTACTATGGACAGCATTATCATTGCTTTTCATTTAGTCATGAGCACAATCGGTGGATCATGTACGATGACCAAACCGTCAAGGTAAGACTATCGTTACATTAGACTGTGAAGGCAGATAAACTTGTCGACATTATCACCCATTTGATGTAATATCTTCAGGTTATCGGTAGCTGGAGTGATGTACTTTCTATGTGTGAGAGAGGACACTTGCAACCACAGGTTCTTCTCTACGAAAAGAAACGTTAAATAAGAAAAAGAAAAGGAAACAAAAAAAAAACAGCAAGTAGAGTTACGTTGCTACAGTTTTGGAGATGGCCCAAGTACAAACTGCAAAGAAAGTAAGTACTATTTTTTTGATAATGGAAAACTCAGAGAGGAAGGAATGTGATTTTACTCTATTCATCATCATAGTCGTTCTAAGAAGATGGGGAAGAAGATTTTGTCGTAAGAATTAAGCAATAGTGTTTGTGGAAGAGGTTTTAGAAGATGTCATTTAGTAAATCTTGGCCAAAAAATCATCACATTAAGCATTATATTGTTCATATAGATCTATACAATACAACCTTCGAGAAAATAAAATGAAAATTCCTTACAACCTTTTACGTTTGGTCGTCTCGTCTGTATAGCTAAATATCATTTTATTCTAGATATATATTATGATTAATGTCGTCCCAACAGTGTTTTTATCACTATTTATCCGAATTCCGAAGCTTAAAAACAAGTTAGCACGATTCTTACATCAAAGTTTATGTTTTTAAATAATAAAATATTTGTAAAAGAACCCAAGAATAATTTGGAATTCATTTTCATCATAGAACTGAAATAGAAGTACTTTAAAAAACAAAAACAAAAAACACTCAAATAATCTTTTAAAATAATAATTGAATAAAAAAAATCTATACAAAATAATCTACTAAATTCGATTATATAACTTTAGATTTGTTTTGTGTTTTAACTAAGATAAGACTGAAAACACTTAATCTAATTTAAGAACCTAAATAACTTGATAAAAAAATTGTGTTATATTGAGATGATAAAGTACAAAACTCAAAACTCTACCAAAAAAATAAAAACAAGTCATTTTGAAAACTACCTGTTTTTGAGGTATACGTTAAAAAATACCCTTTTATATTTTTAATAACAATTATATTGTTTTAAGTAACACAACAATTATGTCCATTTAAATTTAAATCAATATCTTTAGAAAAAAAAACTAAAATAAGATGATTTATTTATAAAGTACTTCTAAATAATAATTACTGTTGGCAGACTCGATCCAAATATTTATAAAGTTTTAATTTTTTTTAAAAAGTTTACAATGTTTTTTAAAAGTTTTTAAATTATATTTATCCAGTAGTAATACACGTACAACAGTAATTTGTGTATATTTTTATTAGATTACATACATATTTGGATAAATTTTAAAAATTTGATTGTTTTTTTGATAAAGTTTGAAAAAAGGTATTTTAAAAGTGGTATTTAAAAATATATGTTTTTGAAAATCCTCTCAAATCAAAGTACTATCAATAAATTGCTTTGGTGTTTTGGTTAATTATTATTATGTTTAAGTAAGATAATTTTAGTAATATTATTTTTGACATCAAAAAGGTCCAAAGTAATTTTATATATTCAAAAATAGTTTTTAAAAGAAGAAATAAAAAGTGAGTATCTTTCCAAATTTACTCAAAAAGATATAAAAAATTCAAAAATTGATTCAATCCAAAACTCAAGAGAAATAAAACAAGTAAGATTTATACTTTTCTCTTAAGTAAAAACAAAAAGAACTATTCTTAGAACAAAACAAAAAGAATCATAAAAAAAAATATCCCAATAAATTAGGAAGAACGTTTTTTTAAATAAAAACTTAATCTCTGTATTTTACTGAGTCGTCTCTACTCCAGCAAATTCGGCTTATATACCAGACCACTTCTCCTTCTTCCTTCCTCGTTTACCAAAAACCATTAACACACAAACACACACACACACACACACACACAAACGTCTCATTCAAAAATCATCTCTTTTTCTTCATTTTTTCTAAGTCTGTTGCTCTGTTCCCATCGAATGAGCCACGTAAAACACATCCACAAAGGGTCACTAGAGAGGTTTTTAGATCTTCTCTTGATCGCTCTTTTTGTTTTGATGACTCTTAAAGGCGGCACGAGTGGGGCGTGTGCCGCGTGCAAATACCAACGTAGACGCTGCGCCGCGGACTGCCCCCTCGCGCCTTACTTCCCCGCTGAACAGCCAAAACTGTTCCAAAACGTTCACAGGCTCTTCGGCGTAAGAAGCATCGTCAAGATCCTCGAAAGACTCGACGAAACTCAGAAGCCTGAAGCCATGAAATCTATCATATTCCAGTCTTATGTCCGTGACCGTTCTCCTGTCCACGGCTGCCTAGGCGTCACACAACAGCTTCAATACATGATTTGGCTCGCCGAAGAGGAACTCAAAGCTGTCAATTCACAACTACAACTATATCGCTCTCAACAACATCAACATAACGGTCCAACACAAACTCCTCACGATCATCATAATCAAATGATACATGACCTCGGTCTTGATAATAAACATCAAGAAGATGTTACATCGCAGCTCGATTTGGGAATGGGACTTAACCTTAACAATAATCAAAGCAATGTGGTTGCACCATTCTTTAGTCCTTTACCAGTTTCCGAAACGCAACAGCCTCAAATGTCTTACACGTATAGTTGTAGTGAGGTCAATAACAATGTCTACAGTCCTCCGGCTTATAATACAGATTCGGGCAAGGAGATTCTCACAAACAATAACAATGCTTGGGGTGTTCAGAATCGATATGATATGTATAACGACAACAATGGAGGAGGAGGGTTCAGCAACCAAAACGAGAACGTTCACGAGATGAAGAGCAATAACGGTGTAGTAGGGATACAATCACAGCTAGTTAATCTTCAAATGGCATCAAACCATCGGCAACAAGAAGAAGAAGATGCTCATGAATACGATGAAATCCATCAGTTCCTTCAAATCATCGACGATAGGCAATCATTTGCGGATTCTAAAGAAGCGTACGCCTCAAGGTATGTGTTATTTTCCTCCATTTTTCGTATTTATTTGTTATAAAAGTGTTTCTGAATTCGAGTAATGTTGTTGTTGCAGCTCTGGTGAAACGTTGAAGGAACACAATATTGATGAAATTGGAGAGAATGAATTGAGAAGTGCAGCTACTTGCTTCAGTCTAACCAGTGTGAATTGAATTGATTTATCAGTTCATGATCTTTAACGTTCTTTTTTTGGTTCCACGTCGTCTCTGAAGTTTTGTTATTCTTTTGTTTTTTATTTAGTAGACAGAGACGTATACGTTTTTTGTGTTTTTTCTTTTTTTTTTTTACATTGAGCCTCTAAACTTTTTACTTTTTTATTTATTTATTTTCTGATATAATAAGCTACATCTATTTTTAAATCTCTTCTAATAGTGTTATTCATTGAGCTTGAAGACTAATTAATTAGTCCAACTTAACTCTTCTCTTGCTCTATTTTTGTTTTCTTGGTTTTCTTGAAATTTAATAACTATCTTCAGGGGAAGTCACTTCTCTGGACAAGAAACGATCCATGGAGCATGGCTGATGAGTGAATTAGAGGGAGATTCACGAGACCGCACACCCAAGGTTTAACTTCCACCTCCATATGAAACTCTAAAATGTACTGTACTGTGTTTTGTGGAACCTTAAAGAAACTGTGCGTGGAATAGAGTAGATCGTCTTTAGAGACAGATTAGGAGAACTTAGTTGGGTTGGACTTTGGAGCCCGGGCTGCACCTATAGCATCATCGTACCTAGGAGCTGAAACTGAACTTTGAAGCCATTCGTATTGAGAAATCTCTCGGCTACAAGGATGTATCATTGAAACTGATTCCAAAGAGATGGTTCAAAGGTTTCAAACAATACAAAAATGCATGTGGGTAGCATGTAATGATCAGTGGTAGATAGCTATATATAGATTGAATCTTATTACTATATATGTACAGTATTTCTTAGAATCTTTTTACTATTGTCGTGAATCTTTTTTAAAGGTATTTTCTTGACAGTATCTTTATCAACAATGGTTATTTGATTGGAAATTTATCATGTATTTGTTACAAGAATATTTAAATATAGAAGAATATCTAGATAAAATTTTATTAGTGATAAAAGATGCTAAGTTGAAGTTTCCTTATGCTATAGTGATCAGGTTTTAATGGTTTAAACTTTTTCCTGTAAATTAAGGTCACCAAGATAAAAGACGGTAAGTTGAAGTTTGGTTTCAGGTACTGTTACAAATTGTTTGTATTTTGTAAATCTCTTCATTTTACATGTTCACAAGTACATGTATTTGTTTTCTTTGACAATGGATAGTTATTTTGTCATATGATCAAAGAAAAAAAATCAATATCTTCTTCAAAATTTAAATTTGTTTCTATTAATTATATTATTTATGAATATATATCTCTTAAAATCACATGATATTTTGTTTTTCATCGTTTTTAGATTTATTAATTATTGCAAATAATGAGAACTGTACGTATATACCATGGACAATCTCAGAATATTTTAACTGATGTTTTTAAAATATTTTAACATTATTATTTTAAAAATTATATTAAATTAAAGTTACTGACATTTTGTTACTTCAATCCTTAAAATTTTAAAAAAGAAACCATATAGCGAATGTCAAAAATAAAAAAATGTTTCATACGTTAAAATTGTTTTGATTTGAAATATAAAATATTCATTTAGTGAAAGTTCTAACATTTTGAGGAAAACAAATCATAATTTTTTACGGTCATAATATTTATTTAATATTGGATTACTACTATTAGTGTGACATATTAAAAAAAAAAACGACAATTATAAGACACAAAAACGACGTCGGTGGTAGATTTTTGTTGGCGAATTGAAAACGACATGAAAAAAGAAAAATCAACTCTCCCAAACCTGTCAAGTGTCAATACTCCAGATAAAAAAAAAAAGAAAGAAAAATAAAAAGACATAAAAATCTGTGGCGACCGAAACAAGTGGAGAGGGAGAGAGACAGAGAGAATGGTAAGTAGTAGTAGTGTAAGCATCTCGAGACCAATTTTTACTCATAGCTTCTCTCCACCTGCTACTCCTACGACAACAAGGTACGATCTTTATATATTTTATTGAACCCCAACAAAACTTCATAGCTCCGATCAACCTCAAGATTTCATCAATGCATAGCATTTTTTCGTTAGGTTTTAGGACAAAAGTTACAGAATCAGATCCTGGAATATAGCTGTCTCCGATTATAGAGATATTCAAGGTTTACTGACCTCAGATTTCTCTCTTCTTCCTTGATGTTTCTTTAATGAAACAGAAGATGCTCTCTGATCAAGATAGACAGGAGATCTCATTTCTCTGTCACAGTCCGGTGCTACTGTTCTTCCTCAAGGTTTCTGAAGAAGCCTGAGTTAAAATGTTCCTTGGAGAAGCCAATTGAAAACCTGCCTTTGAGGAAGTGTTTTGTTTCAGGGTTGGCAGCCATTTTGCTTCTATCTCAGACAGGACAGGTCTGTTGGAGCCGACATTGCGATTAAGCATCCATATAAGTGGATTAAACTTCTGAGTCTACTTGTGTATTCTGGCAGGGTGTTGCGTTGGATCTCTCGTCTGGTCATCAGAACATTTGCCAACTAGGGAGTGCAGCTGTGGAAGAAAACAAGCTGACTCTTCCACTTGAAAATTCATCTGACCCGGAAACAATGATGATGATGATGATGAGAGGCATGACTACTAAGAACTTTGATCCAGTTAGGTACTCTGGAAGATGGTTTGAAGTAGCTTCTCTTAAGCGTGGTTTTGCAGGTCAAGGCCAAGAAGACTGCCACTGTACCCAGGTAGTTGTTTCTTCTACTAGACATTACCACTCCATAGTTAACTAATGCAACAGTGTCACATCTTGACATAGTTTTTCACCTGTTGCAGGGTGTATACTCGTTTGATATGAAGGAACCAGCCATCCGGGTAGATACATTTTGTGTTCACGGCAGCCCTGATGGGTATATAACAGGAATCAGAGGAAAGGTTCAATGCGTTGGAGCGGAAGACCTGGAGAAAAGCGAGACTGACTTAGAAAAGCAAGAGATGATTAAAGAGAAGTGTTTCCTAAGATTCCCCACAATTCCTTTTATCCCCAAGTTGCCTTATGATGTCATAGCCACTGACTACGACAACTACGCTCTTGTTTCTGGTGCCAAAGACAAGGGCTTTGTTCAGGTGATTCAAGACAAGAACTCTCAATGGGGTAGACATATCTCTCTTGCATTCTCTTATATAACTTCATGTGTTTGATATGTCAGATATATTCAAGGACACCTAACCCAGGACCTGAGTTCATCGCCAAGTACAAAGACTACTTGGCACAATTTGGCTATGACCCGGCAAAAATAAAGGATACACCACAGGACTGTGAAGTGATGTCTGATGGTGAGCTAGCTGCAATGATGTCCATGCCAGGTATGGAGCAAACGCTGACAAACCAGTTTCCAGATCTTGGATTGAGAAAGTCAGTCCAATTTGATCCCTTCACAAGTGTGTTTGAAACCCTGAAGAAACTTGTCCCGCTCTATTTCAAATAGACCAACTACTTCCATTCAAGCTTTTGAACTCTTGTGTATATGATCACTGTCCATATGGTTATACATTGTCCATATGCTTATTACACCTGACTGAGTGTATATACATCTTCTAGAATCAAACTGTCTTCTAATTATATCTTTGAGTTCATATCAACCAAAACTGTGGAGAAAGATCCCACATTGGAAGCTTATCAATTGGTTTCTGAAGCCTGAGTTAAAACTGTGGAGAAAAATCCCACATCTACAAATTACACTAATCTAATCTCGTAACACATTAAGGAAATATAGCTTACACTATACAAACAACAGTTACGCTGTAACCGGGAAATCGAAGAAGCACATCAACGAATCGTATTCCTGAGAAACAATCTACTAAAGAATCTCAACACGAATCAATACCTGCCACCACCAAACCAAGCGTTGCAGATCGGCGGCGGCGTAGCTTCTCCGTATATGTCATCCGCCGCCGGCAGTTTTAATTCTCCGATGGAAATAATTTACACGTGCTTTGTCTATTGACGTAATGGGCCAAGTAAGGGCTTTTAAAAATTATAGCCCATTTGTATCTGTTAAAAGCACATGCCGTAGTGAGTATGACACTGTCACTGATGGTTGAGAAAGACTTTTAAGTTCATCAATTTTTGCGACTCGAGTAAAGTAAAATGTCAAAAACAAATTAGTTCGGAAGGCAACTTCAGCTCAAAGTCTCTTTTTTTTTTTTCTTCTTCTTCTTCTCCTTCCATTTTCAAAGCATTGTGAAAATCCTATAGGGTTTGGAGTATAGCGAAGATGAAGACGACGAAAGAAGGGAAGGCGATGATGATTCCTACCGAAACCGATGCCTTCCACAAAGAGCAACGAAACAAAGAATTGAAACGTGTAAGGATTTTTTTATAAAAAATATCGAGTTGCTAAAATGGATTAGGATAATGTTGCCCATGTTTCAATTTAGGTTCTGCTTGAATTGTGATTTGTAAATAAGTTAAAGGCTTAAATTTTGTTGTTTCCTGATTTTTTTCTACTGTTCACTGGAATTCGCCAAGTGGTTGTGCTTCTCGAGCTCTTGTTTATATTATGGAATGGATGTATTTTCACTGGTTAAATGATACATTTTTCATAGAAAGGTTTCTCCTTTTGTTAATTTCATTCTTTAATCAATGTTTTATGTGGTGAAGTTCATGTTCTAGCTTAAGTGTTTGTTGAAGTTTAAGTTGGGATTTTGAAAGACGTGCTCAGAAACTCTAAGTTTTCATCAGTTTTTCTTTTTTTGCAGTTTCATTAGTAGTCTTTTGAACAAAGATATTAAATTGTTTGACAATTGAATTATTTGTTGTCATTGCTTGTGTGAATTAAGTATACTTTTGTTGTTAACGCAGAACAAGCTAGAGAGAAAAGTAAGAGAGGTGGGAATTTTGAAGAAGGGTCCTAAACAAATCAATTTGGAACAGATCAGGAAACTAGATAAGTCAAGTAAGTCATATCATCCTATAGTTTTTGCAAGCTCTCAGCCTATATAACCTGGTGACATTATCATTTACTAGGGTCTTTCATCAAAGCAGTTATCCCACCAAATCAAACTTTGCAATTTGCAGCTTGTCTTCATATATTACAAGAAAACAAAGCTGAGAGAGGCACCCCTGTTGCTAAACAACTCACGCGAGCTGAGAAGGACGCAATCTTTCGCTCGGTTAGTAATTATATAGAATGTGATTTTTATCACACTTGAAATTTAGTATTGTTAAGAAACTTGTTAACATACAATTTTTGTTTGTGTTTAGGTAGTGCCAATTCAAAAAGGACGAAGATTTGGAGTCGGATCCATCCCGTTTGATGAAGAAGTGGGGCAAAGTTCATACAAGAAAACGTCCGAGGATCTAAGTAGACAATTTTCAGAGATAAAGGAACAAATTAAGGAGTTGAAGAATCAACTCAAAGAGGTCGCCTTTTGGTGTAATAAGATGGCTCAACTTTATCCAAATTTGGTTCCACCATCTTGAAGAGACCAATCCTCCTCCTCTGACACTGTTACTGATTTCAAGTTGTGATTTCATTTTTATTTTTCTCTTTAGATGGTACGTTTTATTTTTCATTTATAATTTAACTTCACGCTGTTGTTGTTGATTTTGGGATTTATTCATATTCGTGATAACACAATTACATTTTCTCATAATCTACATAAACAGTTTTATTTATTTTTCTACACAAAATTCTTAAGTAGTAATGGGCCCATGTTTGGGCTTTAAGCGGCCTAAATTTCGGAGTTTGTAGAATACTTAAAACAAAACGACGCACGCTTCTCCTCTCCCAGAGCAAAACGTCATGCAAGTCGAAACCCCATCGTCATATGATCACGGGAACAGAACGAAACGGCGGATCCGACGAACGGAAACCCAGAAGAAGACGATGGTGGCGATTTCAATGTACAGAGGCAACCTTCACAAAGTTCCCGACGTGACTCGCCGGTGGAGAATGCCGGAACGTAATCTCTCTTTCAAGGATTTTAAATCTCTCCTTCATCGCCGTAAACTAGCCCTGTCTCGTCTCCCCCTTGATTCCAACCCTAAAATGAACCTTACCGTCAAGTCTGAATTGGTTACCGATCAGGAGAATCCGATTCTTCCATCTGAAGGGAACCTTTCTTCTAAGAAGCAGAAGGTAGTAGCGGTGAAGAGAGAAGAGATTTGTGGGAATCAGGTTAGGGAAGATGAGAACGACAGAGGTTTCGAAGGAGCTCGATCAGACGGTGGAGATCTTCCCGGAGGAGTGACGGAGTCGAAGGAAACTGATAATTTGCCACCCGAGGCCGAGGATGCGGCTAACGAGAAGGCCGAGGTTTGTTTGAATTACTTTGATAATTTAACCTCTTTATGATCTTCCGATGAAATTTGAGTACAAGTTAGCTAATTTGAAGCTGGGAATATCATGTTCATTGAGAGATTTGTGGTGAGCTCGGTGAAGTAGATAGGAATATTGGAAAAACTAGATTAATTTAGGTGAATTTATCAAATATTAGTGCAGATTTGTTGAGTTATTGAATAGCTATTGACCGCTATTGTCACAAGCTTTTATGTGTGTTCTCAACTAGTTTAAGTTGCATTGACGGATATTGTCACGTAGCAATTCTATAGATGAAACAATTAGCCGCAAAAGAGTTACCAATTTGTGTCGTAGATGTTATCAGTGAAGTTGTTTTGTTTCCCTGTGTCGTAGATGCCATCAATCTAAAAGTATATAGCTTTATGTTCTTCATTTTGTGACTGTATTCTCTGTAATCGAAACAGGCAAATGAAATAACTGAAAAAGAACCAAGCGAAACAGAAAAAAAACGGAAGGAAGTTGAGGACAGATTACAAGTGTTGAATGCAAAGAAACACAATCTAGTCCAAGTGCTTAAGCAGGTCAGTCCTGTCCAGTGTCTGCTCTTCTCTCTATAAAGGTGTTTCACCTCTATCTATACCAATATTGATGTATTATGTAATAAAACTTTTCAAATTAACGGATACACAGATATTAAATGCTGAGGAAGAATTGAAAAGACGCAACTACATGCAACAGCAAGGAACAACAGCAGCGACTCGTCCTGCTCTTCCACTCCATGTGGATGTCTCTAATGACTCAGGAGGTAATGCTGGTGCTCAAATGGAAGGTGGAGAAACTGATGATGCAGCGAATCATATTAATGCTCAAACTCGTACTGTGCTACGACTATGTGGTGCTTCTTCGTCATCTGAATCTCCTCTCAGGAGAGCAGCAGCCTTTTCACAACACAATATGGTGAATATTCAAAATCTCCTTCATCTTATACAACAATATAAACAAATAACTTTAGAATCGTTGGATCCCAAAATACGACCTGGGCTCTCTTTTCTTCTTGCTGGATCTCTGGTTTTGCATTCATATATATGATGTTGATTGGCTGTTGTTGTTGTTTTCCCAGGTTCCGCATACTTCTCGGTGGAGCCCACGAGTGGGTCCCTCTCAACATGGTGCTGCAGTCACTGTCTCTGCATCCGGAACAAACTACATTGCTTCATCTCCTTCACCAGCTGGTTCTGGTGGCACTTCTGTTTTCAGAGAATCACGGCTTCAGAGTCCATGGAATTAGCAGCTTCTCCTCTTTATCTTTTTGTTCTCCGTATCTGTAACGTGTTCATATTGATTGATGTATAAATCAGACCTCATCCACATGATATCTTATTAGTATTATTGCCAAGTATAAACTAATGTAATCAGTAAGAATCACTGTTTCCTCTTATATTCTAATAGGGCTACATTGATTGTTGACTGAATCAGCTGACCAAAAAAAATTAAGTATGAGAAAATTTGATTGTTTATTTCACGAATATGAGTAAATCCCAAAAGCTTTTTTTATTGCACAATCAAACCTATGAGCTTCGGCACATACTACTAATTCCAAGATATTGCATATATCTTCATTTAGAGGATGGAACCGATCGCCAGATACAAACGCTGAAACGCGATCCTTAATGTTAATTGATGACCATCCTGGCTCTTTGATAACTCCTTTAGATTTCATGTCTTTCCTTACATTTGCAGCTTCATACAATTTCCCTGTGCCTGAATATATATTGGCTAGTGTTACAAGTGCAGTTGCAGAAGTCGGATCCAGCTCTAGAATCCTCTCCGCAGCCCTTCTCCCACGTTCAGTGTCTCCTTTGGCCTTGCACGCAATGAGAAGTGTGGTCCAGACTACATCGTCCTTCTTCCATGGCATCTCATTGATCATCTTCTCTGCATCGCTTAGCCTTCCTGCTCTACATAACAGATCAACCATACAACCATAATGTTCCTTGGCTGGTCTCATTTTATACTTCTCTTGCATCAAGTTGAAATAGTGAAAACCAAGGTCAAGCTGTCCCGAATGAGTGCAGGCGGTGAGAACACTGATGAAAGTTACAGAGTCAGGTCTGAAACCAACCTTAAGGCTCTTCTCAAACAGATCAATAGCTTCTTTGCTCTTTCCATGTTCTGCATATCCATTAATCATAGCTGTCAAAGAAACAATATCATCTCTATCTGTTTCTTCGAATATCTTTGAAGCTCCTTTGATACTTCCGCATTTTGAGTACATATTAATCAGACTACTACGAACCGTAGGGTTCTGTTCTAGACCAAGATTAAGAGCAAGCGCATGAACTTGCCTGCCTCCCTCAAGAACTGTCATATTTCCTGAAACACTCAACAAACTAGCAAGAGCAAAATCCGTTGGTTTTGGTCCTGCTTGTCTCATCCATGAGAAGTACCTAAAAGCTTCTTCTCCAAAACCGTCTTGAGAGTATCCTCCAATAATCGTGCTCCACGAAATAATGTCCCTGCATCTCATTCCTTGAAACAAAACAGAAGCAGAATGTAGCTTCCCACATGTTGAGTACATCTTCATCATCGAGTTACTCACTGACAAAGAATCACCTAAACCTAGAGAGAATACATTACAGTGGAGCTGCTCGCCCCACACGAGTCTAGAAAGACTCGCACACGCAGAAAACATCGATGCAAAAGTTTGTTCATTAGGAGGTACTTGAGAATTTCTCATATTTATAAATGTCTCCAAAGCTTTCTCTTCTTGACCTATTTGATTGTAAGCTACGATAAGGCTTGTCCACGAAAAAACATCCTTCTCACTCATATTTCCAAACAAACAAAGGCCGTACTGCATCTCCCCACATTTAGTATACATAGCAGCGAGCGAGTTAGTCACACAGAGAGTATCATCAAAGCCTCTCACTATCACATGAGTATGAATCTCCTTACCGTATTTAACTTGACGTAAACCAGCACAAGCCTTCAAGACACTAGCAAATGTATAAGTATCAGATGGTTCATTCAACCTCATCATCATGGAAAAGTACATAAGCCCTTCCTTGTAACGACCAGCGTTAACCAACCCCGTTATAATTGTTGTCCAAGTTACTGCATTTCTAAAAGGCATTTCACTAAAAAGTCTGCAACTCTTGTCCATCTTTCCAACTCTCTTGTACATATCGAGTAAAGAACTTCCCACGAATACAGAGGTGAGAAGGGAAGTTTTCACCGCGTAAGCATGTAACGATTCTCCATACCCAATGTTGGAACTCTGACCACAAGCCTTGAGAACAACACTTAGAACAGAGGTATCAGGTGAGACCACTGCATGATCAACAACACGCATCGTCGAGAACAAAATCAGTGCTTCGTCAGAGTTGTTTGCAGTTAAGTATCCCTTAATGATGGCTGTCCACGAAACGATATCTCTCTGTAGCATTTTATCAAACACTTGGCGAGCAGCTCGTAAATCCCCGGCATTGACGAGAGTTCGAAGGTGAGAATTGGTATCAACTGTGTCCACCAACTGATTCGGGATCCCGACAATGCTCTTCTCCACTGGTTTCTCCAGTAATGAAATCGAAGCTGTACAAAACCGTTGGATCGTGCCGCCATTTCTCACACTCGAAATCATGTCTTTTTAGTTTTCCACCTGAAGAAACAAAAACATTCACTACACAGAAGAGTCCAATCAATTTTTAACAAACAAAACGGCACGTCGTCCTTCTGAACCCATTTTACGAAAACGGCAAGGTTTGTCTAATCACAAGGTTCCAGTTTGAGATTTTATTGGATAAAGTGATTTTTGGAAACTGTGACTGATTGATTTATCCAAAACCCAAACGGTAACGCAACCTTTCCGTATTCCCAAGGTACTCCGATGTCGGATCCGGAGCTCCTTATGGATCCTCCGGTAGTGAACGAGTCACCCTTCTCTGAGATTTGGCCATTCTCAGTGAACTATGGTATCCATTTGCCGCTCAATCCGGGTCAAGACTTCACTAGTCGAGGCGAAGTATTTGGGTATTCCGGTAACAATTACATATCGGCGGCTGAGGAGTCTACGGTGACGGAGCTAACCGGAGAAGGAAGAAAGAGAAGACCTTTGACCTCTCGAGACGAATCTTCTAAGATTCTCTCTTCTTGCACCAGCGTTACTCGATTGGTGAGCTTTTATTAACATTTCACAGTGTTAGCTTGGGATGCTTAATCATGGTGGGATCTAGGATTAGTTTATAGTAAAGTACATAACTTTAATTAGACGTAATTCTAATATGACTAATTGATCTTTGGTTTATCATGTTATGATGATTTCGAACTCAATGGTTGTATATGTATGTACCTTTGAGCAGAAGGATTCGAGCAAGAAGAAGAAAATGAAAGTTTGTGGATCTGAAGGCGAAACTGAGGATGGTTTGAGACCTGAAGGTGAAACAAGCTCAGGTGGTGGAAGCAAAGCAACAACAGAAGAAAAGAGTCCACCAAAGGATTATATTCACGTGAGAGCAAGACGAGGACAAGCTACTGACCGGCACAGTCTAGCTGAGCGAGTATGTTCCTAATTTCTACCTTTATATGACAACAAAGATTACAGCTTTCCATGAATCATGATCGAACAACACCTTCATTGTTTGGTAACAAAATTTTAGTTTTGAGGGGTTTGTTATGTTGGATTGATTTATAGTTAGTTATACACAGATTGGCTTGTTCTTTTTGTTACTGATAGCAGTGTTTTGTCCGTTAACTGTTAATCTCTACAGCATGGTTATTATTCCACAGGCTAGAAGAGAAAAGATCAGTGAGAGGATGAAGTTTCTTCAGGATTTGATTCCAGGATGTAATAAGGTACCTTACTAGTAATCCTGTTGTCTTGCTCTTGTACATGGAAATACAATTGCTTCATATTCATCGCACCTGCTGTTTAACCATTGACGCCACTGTTACAAAATGCTTTAACACCTTAGGATATAATTTATAAGAATGCTCCTATGATTCCAGATTATCGGAAAAGCTCTTGTGCTTGATGAGATTATCAACTATATTCAGTCGTTGCAAAGACAAGTTGAGGTATTGTAGCCATCTCTGTGTACTTTATATCTTTCTGCTAAATAGTAAATACTGCTCCATATCTTATTGTTAGGCTAACGAATTTGGCTGCAGTTTCTATCGATGAAGCTAGAAGTAGTTAATTCAGATGTGAGCAGTGGTCCAAAAGTAGGAATGTTTCCTTCTGGAGATGTAAGCCCCAAACTCTTTTCTTAAGAAATTCGTACGATGCTACTGAAATTAGCAGTACTTAGTAACTGTTGATCATAAGGTTTCATCATCAATCCTAAATTTGCTGCAAAAACATCAGTCTTAACACTCGGTTGTCAATACAGTTCCGTGGTCCTTGTAGTAGTTCGATTCTCCTCTTAGAAGCGTATGGATCTTTTGTTTGTTCCTCTATCGCTATTGATTGTATATAAATGCTTGTAATTGATCTTTATTTAGAGTATCCATGACAAAAGTCAACCTACAAACTTGCTTGGTTTTTGAGATCAAAAGAGCCATTGATTTATTAAATTGATGAGCTAATATTGGTGTTGTATTCTACAGCTTAATACTCTGCCAAATGAGGTTCCACGAACATTGTTCGATCAACAAGAAGCTGATATAGGCCTAGGGTCTCAACCGGACTGGCTCCATGTGAGAATTGATGGAAACTTCGACCGAACCGAGTGAATTAATGTTCTTGAGGGTGTGTCTTGTGTATAATTTAGCTGACAGTAGGTAGAAAAGAAACTTGACCCTTAAATTATTTATCTATGTATTAATTACTTTAATCAGCAAGACTGTTATCAAATACAGTTATCATCATTAGTAAGATTTAATTTTAATGCTCCAGAGATAGTCTCTGCATCATATGTTTCCTTAGTAACTCAATTTCTTTGCACCTAAAAAATAAATACACCCAACTAAAGGATCTGAAAAAAAGTCATTACTGATGAATCGAACATAGTGATTTACTAGGATTGAGAGAAGACCAAAACGCCTAGATTAGTGACTGGATAATATGTTGTATGCCACATGTCGTTCATCAAATTTAAGCTTAAGATTCACTTAAAGTAATTAGATTATTATAATTTCCCCAAATCATTGGATGTTGATCGAGAAAGAACATCTATTATAATTCGTTAGAGAGAGAAACGAATTTGGGAAATATTACAAGTGTAAACTGTGTACATAACAAAGCTTAACTAAATCATATATATATATATATACTATTGTAAATTATGCTGAGACTTTTCTCTCCTCATTATCATGTCTAAAATATCAATCTTTTAAAACTTTTCTGACTCAACTTGGGTTTGCGGATGCCAGCTTGGCTCCAAATCGTTATGGAAAAGCAACAACAAAAAAACAAAAACATAAAAGACTTTGGTGAAAACATGAATATCACATTTTCCGATTAGGCGATTTTGATATTCGTTTTTTATATTGATCTTTTTTATTTCGATAATCTTTCTCATTTCTGCGCCAAAATAATACAAGTTACCATGATGATTGAGTCATGAAGCAAGACACAATTATTAAAGGGTTTGATTCCTTCTTCTTCATATATTGACTAGAACAAAGTCATGTGGCATGCAATTTTATTTAATTGTAGTTGAATCAAATACATGTTTTGGCTTATTTATTTTCTAGCAACACCCACCACAATATTTTGTACGGTTAACAATATATATATATATATATATATATATATATATTCATATGCAATCAACCAAAAAAGTAATATAATTATGTATTTATTGTATTCTACTTAATTTAGAAAACCACTATATATATTATAGGATTCAAACTTCCTCCACAAATCAGTTCAGCACAAATTAGATTTGTGTTTAAACGTTGCATTTTGTTTTCTTTGTAAAGTTTTGTACTTAAAAACCTCACTAATGTGATACATAGTTCTCTGGTTAAGAATTAGTGCACAACAATTAAACTTCAATCATTTTAGGTGTTAAGATTCCATATTTTTTACATACATGAAGCTCGCTTCAATAGTATATTAAATGGCATTGATGGACTTCACCGGGTGATTTTCTATGATGATTCTTTTGAATCCATTGATTACAAAAAACGTTCGAGGCTAGTTGTTTAACATTCAAGGTGAACCTAACGTCAAAACTATTACATAACTAATATAAAATTATAATATTGATTTTAAAGTAAACAAATAAAAACATATTTTTAAAACCAAAGTTATGATTTTCATTAAAATTTTGAACATAAATTATTCTAAAACACTACAAATTCTTAATCTAAATGTTAAATAACAAACAAAAATAAATGTTTTATATTTGTAATTTAAAAATAATTGTATTAAACATGAAAAAATCTAATTTTTCAGAGAATAATCAGATGACTAATTTTTTAAAGAAATTAGTCATTAATCAAAATGGATAATGTGGACTTAGCGATTACATCACATAGAGTAATCGAAGTTAGGCGGGTAAACATCTTTGTTATACTTTTAACACTAAACAATCATTTAAATAATAGTTGTAAGAAAAAATTAATAGGATAAGAACTGGCTAGGAAAATGTTGGCATGATACTGATACAATAGCAAATTCCTCTAATGTTATGAAACTCGTTCGAAAAAATTATACTAAATTCTCTAATGTTGTTTACTGTTGTACAGTTCAAGTTAATCTTCCCATCTGTACCAACCGTGACCGAATTAACGTGAACAAAATAAACCGAATTGAAACCAATCCAATCAATTTAAAGGAAATTAATAATTTTGGTTTGAGCCGGTACAGATACATATGTATATCGAACCATAAATAAAATCTCCGGTGTTAGTGGTAGAGCTGCAAAAAAAAAGAGAGATGGGGATAGTGAGTAGAGCTGGAGATTTGTCGTTCAAGGCTTTCACGGCGGGGCTAGGGCTCGCCACCATCTACCTCACCGCCAGTTTCTCCTTTAATGTCTATCGTGGTCTCTCTTGGCACAACGCTCAATCTGTATGTTTCTTCTTCTCTCCCTTCACTTGTTCAATTCGAGGGATCAGCGTTTCCTATAGATTTATCATCATTTTCGTTTCTTGTTTAGATGATTGAGATTTTTTGGCGGTATGCATGATCTGGACATTTGTAGACAGTTTCCTTGGTTTGATTTTATTATTGTTGATCTGAGGTCCAAATTTAGGGTTTAAGACTGTTTCTATATTGTTGCTAGTTTTGATTTTTTTAATGGATATGACTTATGAGCTAACCTAGTCATTGGCAAACAACACGATGATAAATATTTTGATTCTTAGTGATAAGGATATTTCAAAATCGTAGTCTATCTGTATTACATGCTCTGGTTCTTTGGAAATGATGATATATCTCTGGGATTGTAAGAGATGTACTTGTTTAGATACCCTGTCTATGCAATGGATCAGCTGTGTTAATAGCGTCTTTATCTTTCTAGTAGCAAGATCTTGTCCCATTTTGGATATTAGGTGTGTGCTCTAAGTGGGGATAGAAAGGGTCTTTATTTGAGAAGTTGTGAGGAAACTGTAAAAGGATATTAAGATGATTGAGGTAGGAGAATGATAAGAATATGAGTTTTATATTCAATTAAAACAACCGATAAGAGACTGGATTAGTGAGAGATTCTCAACCATAACCCTGGAAAATCCACACTTTTATAAGTCTAGTTCTGTCACTCACTCCTCTCTAAGCGACCATGATATCTTCAGTCTTTGCTTGGTACACAGTAGAGCCTATAAGCCTATACCTAAGAGTGAAGCCTCTGAACATTAAGGCAGGAACTCCAGCCAATCAACAAAGCCTGTGTCTTGGATTTAGAGCAATTCTGTGCATTAGGCTGCTTATATTGTTGCCATGGCTGATATTCATTTTCATGGCCAATGTGAATTACCTACAATAACAGTGTCAAAATGAAAATGCAATGTTTTATTTTTTCTCAAGATTTTAGAAGTGTTTATGATAACTCCAATGTTGCTGTCAAATTTTAAGAGAATTCAACTGGTAGATGCAATGGGTTGTGATAATCCATGGTTTGCTTTCGATTGTTTTTTAATCCCTTGACCTTTCTTTTATTCTTGGTGTATATTTACTTTGACATTGTGTTATGTCCTGGATAATAGTTTTCACCCCTATTAATGTCTTGTCCAAAGCTAAATCCATATTGTATCTTACTAAAACCTTATATTTATTTTCCTTGCAGAAACTGGAGTTAGAGCAATCTGAAGAACAATCCGAATGATCCTAATTCAGTTGCTACATATCCCTCAAGCAGCAGATGCTTCCTTGAATCTTTGCGTGTGTTGTTTCTTTTCATACAACTAATATACTGTATCTTTGTTTCGATTCTAGGAAATAAATGAAATTTTTTGGTTGATACCTTCACTGAATTTGTAATGTGGTTCTGAAAGTTCCATAATAGCAAAAGAACCAACTTTTCTTCCAATAGTTGAAGTAAACTACTGATAAATTAGAATCTGTGAATCCGGAAACTAGCTTTGATGACAACAGAACTCGAACCCGGTGGAAGAAGAATTAAACAAAATCAAGATAGATAGCAAGGGGAAAACTATCAATTTGGATATTCAATTCGACAATAGAATACTGTACTATGAAGTCTCAGAAGTCGGAAGCAACTATCACGCTAAACTCAAGATACAATACTATGAACACAGAGAATGCTTCGATACGAGAGAAGAGCAGAGAGAATGCTTCAATGTTACAGCATGGAAAGATATTTCAATTTGGATTTCTATAAATTATGAGCTTGTGTGATACATTCAAGGTCTGACTTACATGATTCCATGTAAAGCGATTTGGGTTTCTGGAAACCAAATACAAAGTTTCGACATAGGACAGTTACAAAATCCTTTTCGTTTCTTCACTTATTCCAAAGCCAAACATGAGTAACAAACAAGATGAGATTGTTAAAAAGGGAGATACAGAAACTCATGAGCTTCCTCCTGCAGCCTGAGCTTCTTTCCTCATCACTGCTCTCGCATAGATCTCATAGCAGCATCCTGAAACAAGCACACATCAAAAGGCTTATACAAGTCAACACACACAAGACTATGTCATCGGCATCCTAACTATATGAGCTACACACACTACTCTACTAAGTTCTGATCATATCTACTCTGAAGATGCAATAACATTGATTCTATGGAGATTCGAATGGTAACTGTCTCATCCAAACTATGCAAATCCCGGCTACTATATTACATAGTATTTTGTCCAATATGAAAATATGATGGGGAGCACAAAGGCATCTTTAGCAAACCAAGGATATTTTGATCTGCAGCTTTTCTTGTTCGAAACAAGGTCACAATAGCAGAATAAAATAGAGGTAAATCTCTCTAAAATGAATATCTATCTTCATAAAAGTAACTTTCCATACCAGCAACAACGACAACAGTGAGCACATCTCCAATCCTCTTCAATCTGTGCACGCCTTTCTTATGCGACTTGAATCTCCTCAAAGATGCATCCTCAGCCAAGAGCTGCAAAAAATCAACCATGCCATAAACAAAATCTCACATAAAAAACCAAAACTAGAAAATCAACATCAGCCCTATCCCTATTTGCCTCGCTAATTACGGATTCAGGCTTGCACACAGAGACTTTCAGAACAATTACACCTACCTTCAACTACTAATTGACATACAAGGATAAAATGAACCTTTTTCCCCTTCCTAAAAACAGTATAAGCTGACCGAATCGATCCCGTGATCCCTACATTGCTAGAACAAAGATAAATGTCAAAGATACTTACAGCTTTCTCGCGAGCACCTAGCTCCACATGGAACCCACGACGGGGTTGAGCTATAGCACCATCCGTCTTCTGCAAAAAAAAAAAGATCAAGAGGAGTAAATCGATACCGTCGTAAATCAAAAGAATCGAATTCGATTCTCTTAGATTCGAAATACAAAACCTGGGAAGAAGATCGGAGATGTGATGAAATCGAAGTGTTGTTGAGTAAAAACGCCATTTCCGATGAGGAGCAAAGATTTCAGCTCTGAGACGATTGTATTGTACCCAAATTGAAATTTGCAGCGACGGGTGAAGAAGTAGCGCAATCAGCCAAATATGTGGTAAGATTCTGTTAAGTTCCTGGTAATATAAGACTTAAATTGTAATTTTGAGTTTTTTTTATTTTTACCTATATTTTAAATCTAATATCCATTTTGACCCCAAAGTTTTTCTGGTAGAGATACTAGACCTCTTTTATAATATCATGAATCTGCAGTAAAACTAATGTGCTAGAGTATGCCGTAGCCGTATATACATACACAAAACTAGGGACCAAAAATAACACTACACCGAAGCAAACCGAAACAAATGAGTTCTAATACAGGTTATCTAGACTAAATCAGAGAAACGCACAAGAGGGCAATTATCAGGACTAGGAGATGCCTCTTTAGCTTTAGCTTTTGCTTTTGGTTTACCAACATTCTTCTTGCAATTGCTGCAGAGCTTACCATGTGTATATAACAGACAGTTCAGATCAAACTTGAGCTCATCGGGGATCCTGCGGTTGAGATGAACGTAGGTTTTATTCCTGTCTGCGGTTTTGGGGACCCAACCTAACGCCTTTGCGATCTCAAACACCTGTTTCAGTCGGTTTTGTATCTCATTTTCAATTCACTTGTCCAAAGAAAAACAAATATCAAACACAAGAGTTACAGAAACACTCACATGAGTGTCTACTGGGAAATCATTGTGCTGGAGATTAAACATGAGGACACAAGAAACCTGTAAATCATCAATACATTTCCCATGTAAGTTTCCAAAATTCATCTTGATTCTTATTGTTACATTGACAGTTTGACTCCAAGAGTTAGGTGTTAGCTTAAGAAGGTTCTCAAAATTGTTTCTTTGAAGTGACAAAAAGAGGGACTTTTACCGTTTTAGGTCCTACTCCTTTAAATTGAGAGAGCTCAGATTTTACTTCATCTACCGATAAACTGCGCAGATACTCCAAGCACAATACGCCTTTTTCGTTCTGCAATCTGTTCAATATATTCTTGATACACACAGCCTTCTTAGGAGCCAATCCTCCACATCGTATAGCATTCTCAATTGATATTGACTCAGCAGCCAAAACCTACAATGGTGGCAAATGAAGTATCAAGATCAAACACAATCATATCCCATTAATCCATGTCAAGATGCATTTATCAAAACTTTTAACCAAAATCTTAAGGTGAATCAAGCTCACAGACTCCACCAATTTGCCAAATAACATGCTTTAAATGAACAATGAATATATAAAAAGAAGAGTGACTGAACTATGTATATGCATTGTTCCAAGATTAGAGCTTCACCTAAACTCATAACTCTATCAGCAGTGCAAAATCATAAAATTTCACAAACGTAGAGCTTGTAATTCCCAGAACCTTCAGTTAAGAGAACTTACATCTTCCCATTTCGGGAATGCAGCTTTCAGAGAAGCAAAAGCTCTTAAGGAATTGCTCTCAGTTGTGTTCTGGGAGAGAAGAATTTTAACCAGCCCATCAAGCACACTCTCTTCCTCCGCTTCATCCAACGGCTCAGGTTTCACCGTACATTGTGTACCGTGATCATCGACGGCGGAGAATAATCGGAGTCTCTTACGGCGGTAACTAGCGAACTCGGGAGGGAACCCATGGAGAGACAACAAAGCATCTCTCACGTCTCGGCATTCTTCAGCGGTAGGTCTAAGAAGTGCGGGGTAAGGATCTCCACCGTCAACAGCGGATTTAATGACCGGAGTTTTTGATTCGCCGTCGCCTTGGTTTAGGCGTTTCCTCTTCTGTGCTTTGCTCATCTCGTAGGTAACTTTTACCGACCGGTGTAATATTCTGATCGGTTTATTGTTTTATTTGGTTCTGAACCGCTTAATTTAATCAAATATTCTGATTGGTTTGGTTTCGATTCTATTCGGTTCTGATTTTTCTTAGTTCTAGAGTTTATTATGATCACACTATTCTGGTTAGGATTTGGTCGATTCCAGATTTTAGGATATTTTCGGATTTTTTTCAGACATTCTTGGATATGTTCAAATTAGTAGATATGAACCATGGTTTCCAATTTTTGTAACAAGTCACCATCTTACTGTTTTTTACTACTTTTTTTCTTTTTTCACTTTTATCCTTTTAGCCTCTTAAGGCTAAGAAGATACTGCTACAAGCTCACAACTTCACATCACACATGTTCATCTATTCTCGTAACATATAAATTAGGGAATGTATGGTTCATGTCGTCATGACGTGTTCTCAGGACGTATGGGCAAGTTGATGACTGGATCACATGACTTCACGCAGAATGATTTGTAGATTATTCTAACTTGTAAACGTTGATCATTTATAATTATTTGACCAACGACAAAATCTTCGTTCCAAATCTTATTGGAATATATAGTATTATTTTTGTTACAGCTCCCTAAAATAAATAGTTTTGAGATGGTACACCAAACATATTTCACAATAGACACACCCCTTCTTGACACGACTTTTCTATGTCAACGACCTCACACGTCACAAATGAAACACGAGCAAATTCAATACAAACGAATGAACATTTTAACTTTTCGTCGTTTCATTTGGAAAAGTCAAATCAAAGAAGACTAAATACAAATTCACTCCCAAAATTATAGTCACAAAAAGAAAAAATATATTACAAGGAGTGAAAAAAACTTTTTTTTTTACCCAAAAGAAAAATAAAATAAATAATTGAATCATACAGAGAGCTAAAATTGAGAGGAATAAGCGAAACCCCCATTTTGCCCTCCTTGTTGAAACTGAGACCGGCTTAGCCCACTCGCTTCCAACATACGGTTCCACTCACGCACCTCTGCACCTTCTCCAAATTCCCCATCTCCGCCTCTCAATGTCTGCAGAATCTTCACCGCCTTCTCCTTCAACCGTGCGCCTCCGCTCTCGCTCTCCACAATCTCCGTCAACACCTCCTCCAAACCCACCTCACTCGCCAATCCTCTAAACCTCATATTCCCTACACTCAACGTCAACAACGCCCCAACGCAATTCTCACGCGCCGCCGCCTCCTCTGCCCCATCTCCACCACTTTCTCTCAATTTCCCAACCAATATCGCCACCGCATTCCCATCAAGCATAGCTCCTTTACCTTCCGAGCAAGCCGCTAAGTTACATAGCAACAGAAGAATCCTACTCGCCGATTCACCGGATCTTATCATAGACAACATAACCGGCACCGCACCGGCTCGAACCAATCTATTCCGGTTATTCGGAATCAACGACAGATGATAAAGCGCAAGCGCAGCGTCTTGACGCGCTCTCTCACTCTCGGAAGATCGAAGCGCGTGAAGAAGCGGTTCAACCGCACCGAGAACTCCAATCACCATCTTGTTCTCTTCCTCAACCGCTAAACTAAACAAAGCTCCGATCACATGCTCTTGCGCCTCCGTTGATCCCGATTTCAAAACATCGATTAACAAAGGAACGAATCCTGACCGTACGATTTTTAACTTGTTTGGTTTCTCCAACGAGAGGTTGACCAATGACGCTGCGGCGTTCGTCTGCACGATGTTGTACCGCGAAACGATAAGAGATCGGAGTAACGAGAGAATCCGATCAGTGCAGAGCGAGATTCTCGTGCTCTCGTTTGTTCTCGTCGTCTTTCTCAGCTGAATCAGACCTTGTTCGTGATCGATTGTGTCTACACTGCTGAGTTTGTTAACGATCTCTTCTTCTTCCGGTGACATCGGAGGAAATGATGAAGTGAATGAGCTTGGGATCCGGGTCGAGTGATTAGCGGGTCGGTTTTGGTGAAATGGAAGAGAAGTGGTTGAAGTTGATGATATTGAGTTTCTTGAACGAGATCGAATCGCTCCCATCACAGATTCATAATCCGACTGTGAATTCGAATTTGAATTGGAGTTGGAATTTGAAGTCTCAGCAAGCGGAGGTAAGATTTCGGATTTAGAGATCCGATGACCCGGAACCGAATCCATACGGGTACGAACAACACCTTCGACGTAAGCGTAATCAGGAGGACGAGGGTGTTTCATTTTGTTTCTATCACACCAGCTGAGAATTGTTGATTTCATGGCGAGATTTGGTATCACCGTCGATAAATCAGGCTGAGATCCGTCGTGAAGCTTTGGAGCAAACCCGAGATTACGGCAAACTTGGACAGAGACACGCTCAAATGTTTGACCAGAAGCGACGACCACGGGATCCGACATTAAAAAACCGGTGATGGGACAGAGGAACTCAGTCGGTGTTTCGCCGGGGTTGTTGTGTTGTGGCATCTGCGGTATTGACGTAGCGGAGGCTGAACGGTGGTGGGGAAATGAGAACCATTTATGACGGCCGGTCTCGCCCATTTGGATAGAGACAGAGCTTGAAGAAGAGAGGAAACAACAAGTTAAGCGAATCTGATAAGCTATTGTGTTTTGTATGAATGTAACTTCAACTTGTAGTAAGAGATTGTTTTGACTTCAACGTTTGATGTTTTTGATCGAGTCAAAAAGATTCTCACGTTGATACTAAACTCGTTTTGCTTTTCTTACTAATTAACATACGTAGTTGGTAACTAAAACAATGATTATGATAATCTTTTTTTGGTGAATATGATTATGATAATCATTAGATATGTTGTTGTCGAACTAAAATGATTATAGGGATATTCGGATTTCATTTATATAATATACTAAATTCATCTATAAAATTAGAAATATTTTATGATTTTCGAAAATTATTTCCATAACTGGTATCAAAGCTCGTTTGTTTATAAAGGGTCGTTCGAACTAATTCATATTTGATTTACAGTGGACAAAAAATAGGGATTCATAGGGATTCTATATAGTATTTATGAGCAATTTGTGTTTAGTTAAGTCAGAATTATTTATAAGCATGATGTAATAAGTAATGCTCGTTGACGAACGAATATAAACAATTTGTACAGATTCATGGGCAGCATCATCCATCAGCTGAAGACAATTCAAGGCGTGTTACAGCAAGACAGTTTATAACCTTTGTTTAAGACTTTAAACCCAAACAATCTAGAAGGGAAATATAATTCTTTTTTATAATCTTTTTGCCAAATATTATTATTTAATACTTAGCTTTCTTGATAATTTTGTGAGCAACTATATATTTGACACAACATAAATCAAACAATTAAAAAGTGCGAAACACATCCGTTTCTCAATCAAAGATTTCACACATATATTTTGAATTTGAAGTATTACTCATTTTTATCATGATTCTTTCAAAAGTAAACGGGTTGGCTAGCAAAACTCACAATCATATAGTAAAAAGGGTTAGAATTGATTTTTTTTACGAACGCTATTCTTTGTTGGTTGGTTCGTCACGACATATATTGTGAATATGAAAATTTTCCAAATGCAATATTTTATCTATATTACTATTTTTATTACTAAAATGATCAAATTAAATTACCTATGGATATCTATTCCTTCACATTGTTAAAATTTTATCTACTTTCTATTATATTAAAACTCATTTACTATCATTTTTCTACTTTTTTTTTATCATAACTCATAACACAAATGTATATGATTCACCATATCCGACTGCAACAAATCAAATCATAACATATTTCAATCTATTATAGACCATATATATTTATGAATATTTCTCCGCGCTGTAGCGCGGGTCTGATCCTAGTCACTACTTATAAAATAATATCTTTCTATAAGAAAAAATATATCATTAATTACTAATCTTGAACAATTACAAAAAGTAAATGAAAAAGTAATATAGTTTCTCTTTTTAATTAATGATATACTTTTACAAGAAAATTAGAAATATAATTACTAATCCTAGAAAAAGGATTGTAAGTATCTATCTCTATGACTCTATATAAGAACTATGTTGTCTCACAATTTTTCATAAGACAAAATATCATCATCAAAAATACAATCCTTGCTTCAACTTCATTTCATTGGTATAGCTTCTCTTCTTTTCAAATCATTATATTTATTTATAAACTGTACAAATGCATAATTCCATCATGAAGTCGAATTATCTTTATTTTCGACCCCTTTTCAATTATTGTTAATTTGATGGCATGATAGTCAAAAATAGTAAAAGGTACCATGTATGAAATTCAAGTCCGGTTTTGAAATTCGATTTAAATGTGGGTTTGGTTTGGTTTGGTTTGGTTCGTTAATTTCCCCTACGGATACGATGAAACCGGGCAATGCCATATACGGCGTCGTGTAGGTTAGTTTTCCCCGTTTTCTGAGAAAAACAGAAGAAAACGCACTCTAAAGAGCGATCATCAGAAAGAGAAGACGAATTAAAGGATCTTTTCCATGGGAGATCGCTGAGATCCCCACGAACATATCACAAAAAATTGCCTTCAGTCGAAAATCTTCTTCGATATTTATTTGAGCCCCTGATCTGGTAAAAGCTCGATCTTCTTAAGTTGTGCTTATAACTTTGGGGGAAATCTATCTTTGTAGTTCTTTCTGGTAAGAGTCAATTAACAAGCTTTTAATCTCTCTCTTCGAGGCAGCTAGTGGTGGAATCTTTTTGTTAAGTGACATCTGGGTTTTGTCCTAATTGTGTCAAAACCATGGTTTTTTTATTGTTTTACTTTGCTTTGCACTAAATTTAATTTAGGTTCGATTTTAGTGAACGAAAGAATTAACAGTTGTAGTCAACTGAAACTTGAAGATTTATGATTACGTTTGGTGTAGTTGTAAAGGATTTGGAAATTATTCTACGTTTTTTCGTTTGATCTCATTTGACTTTTGGTATTTGATCTGCTTCGTTACCCAGATTCTTTTTGCTTAGTGTCACAAGTGATAACTTTGATCTTTGATTGGTCATTTTTTGTTTTTTATATAGTGGAAGTTTGAAAATGGTGCTAGTATTGGCATTGGGGGATCTCCATGTACCTCATAGAGCGGCTGATCTACCTCCTAAGTTCAAAGCAATGCTTGTCCCTGGGAAGATTCAACACATCATCTGCACTGGAAATCTCTGCATCAAAGTAGGCTTCTCAAATTTTTGATCTTTGCATCTCTATCATGCTTTACTTTGTTTCGCGGGGTGTCCTTGTTGGATTGTTCTGTTTCTTGAGATTACATGTGAGGTAAAAAAAGAGGATTCAGAACGAGAATAGACTCTAATCACAGTTTATATGATGGTTTTTAGCTTATGCAAACCTACAAGTTTATTCTGTTTGTGCGTTGTTTCGAACTACATTCTTACTTGGTTGTGTGAGATTTACCGGGAATTGGAATAGGAGGGAAACTCAATTGTTTTATGTGATCTACTTAGAGCTTGTTCTGTATCTGCTTGATTGTGCATATTTTGATTCATACCTGGCAGTGTGAGAGTCGTGGAAAAATGTAAAAAGGAATTCCACTACAGTTTTAGTTGGATCAGTGTTAGTTTTAGATTTGCTTGTGCAATGGAATTGTGAAGTCATTAACTCAGTATCGATTAGTTGTTTAAGAGAATTCAATGATGTTCATTTAGTTGGAAGATGTGTTAAGAAGTTTGAGATGCTTTTAGTTGATAGCCCATCTTATAGAAGTTGCAGTCTTGCAGACTTTATCTGTTCTTATGCTGTGAATTCTTTTCTGGTTCATGTTTGTGGTAATCTTAAGATGTTGTAACTGTTTTAGGAAATCCATGACTACTTGAAGACTATCTGCCCTGATTTGCATATAGTTCGAGGGGAGTTTGACGAAGATGCCCGATACCCTGAGACCAAAACCTTGACTATCGGGCAATTCAAGCTTGGACTCTGCCATGGCCACCAGGTTCAGTTTTTCTTCTCTTGCGCATTTCACTGTGAGCTTTACGAGTTAGACATTTTGCAGCATATGAATAACCCCTAGTATCATACACCATCTTGTTTATCAAAATTTCCAGATTAGAAAACTGAATTCTGCAGGCCTATACTTCATTGCTTTGTTGGTTTTTGACCTTACCCAGTGAGTCTCAGATTTTGCTTGCTTATTGCTATGTGCATGATAATGTAATCAGGGTCTGAGTGACAAAGTTCATCACATCAAATAGTTTTTTTCTCTAGTCTTTACATTGTCATATGGTAAACAATAAAAAATGGCTTTATGATGAAGAACTGTGTTTTGGAGAATAGTAAACGGGAAAGTCGGTTTAATTTTCCTTGCCAAAGTTTTAGACTAAACTATGAAAGAGTTAGGTTTTAGTTTTTCTGTTTATCAACGTCTTATCATCTTGAAATTGGTTTTCTGATTCTTCCATAATCCTTAGGAAGCAATGCTTAGTTAAACTTGTAAGAACTTATTTGCAGTCTTATGAAAAAGAGCTTCTCTATTTGTTGTTATGCACAGGTGATCCCATGGGGTGATCTAGACTCACTCGCCATGCTTCAGAGGCAACTCGGCGTTGACATACTTGTAACAGGCCATACCCACCAGTTTACAGCCTACAAACACGAATTAGGAGTGGTGATCAACCCGGGATCTGCAACCGGAGCTTACAGCAGCATAAACCAAGATGTCAACCCAAGCTTTGTTCTTATGGACATCGATGGTCTCCGAGCCGTGGTTTACGTCTATGAGCTAATCGATGGAGAGGTTAAAGTCGACAAGATCGAGTTCAAACCGCCCTACCAACAACTCTGCTCCTTAGTCCATTTAATCAAAACCTGATACCGTTTTATGTTTTCGTCTGAAGTTTGCAACTTTCTTGTGAAATATAATCTTTTAATTTAAACTGAATCAGCTGAGTAACAAAAAAAATTATTTTTATGAAAAGTTTTCAATAATTGCTTTAAAAGTCGAATATTTTATTTCTCATTCTCACGAAGTCGGCGAATTATTCATCTACAAACTATGATAAAATGTGATCCACAAATTTATTATTAATCCTAAAATCCGACCCGATTTGATCTGACCCGACCCGACCCGATTAATGAGCGGTGAATCTGAAGAGCATAACATGCAAATAACTCTCGCCGGGATTCACAATCTGCGTCGGAAAATTCTTGTGATTGACGGAATCTGGGAAGCCTTGCGTCTCCAAACACAAGCCACCGTACTTCCCATAAACCGCGTTACCTTTTCCGACGACGCGTTTCATCATATTACTCGTGTAAAACTGAACGCCAGGCTGGTTCGTCCACAGCTCCATCTTCCTCCCGGTGACATCCTCCGTCACAACCGCCGCTTTCCTCAGATGTTTCCCGATCTGTCCGTCGATGACGTAGTTGATGTCGTAACCGCCGGGTAACTCGTGGATCCGGGCTCCGATCCGGCGTGGCTCGAGGAAATCGTAAGGGGTTCCGGAAATGGAGGTGATTTCGCCGGTGGGGATGAGTTTATCGTCGACGGGAGTGATTTTACCGGCGAAGAGTTGGATTTTGTGGGAGAGGATGTCGCCGGAGTTGTGGCCGCGGAGGTTCCAGTATGTGTGGAGAGCCAAGTTGATCGGTGTTGGTTTGTTGAGTGGCTTTGCTTCCATTTTGACTCCGAGTTTGTTTTCTCCGATCAACATGTACGTCACTTTCACCGTCACGTCTCCGGGGAAACCTTAAAAATATTATTAAATTGAAATAAAAGTTCATTAAAACTACAACAAAAAATTCTGAATTAATGCGCAAAAAAGCATTAAAAAATATATTAAAATCAGTTATATAACACATTAGTTTATGGGAAGAAAAATTGTATTTTTTTTTTGTTGGTAGACTAAAGTGAATATTATGGGTTAGAAACTTAGAATGAAATTATAGTATATTAGTTTATCTAGAACTAGATTTTAACCCGCGGTACACCGCGGGGCAATTTTTTTTTATTTTTAGGTTTTTTTATAATATTCAAAATTTATATTATACTAAAATATATTTAAAAATTATTAAGATTACATAATATCAAACATAATGAAATCAGTTTGATTAATATAATGAAATCAATTTGATTCACATGTCTTATATTGGTGTTGTAAAAAATAATACAATAAAATTTTAACCCGGTTTAAAGTTTAAGACTCATACTCGTCCCGTCATACAAACCGTCATACAACATGTCATAAAACCGTCACACAATCCGTCATACAACACGTGTATAAATGTTACTTAGAAAAAATTATAGTAATTGCTTCCCTATGTGTTCGCATAATATGAGTCTATTTTCAAAAATACAAATTGCAACATATCCAGAAAAAATGTATTTTTATTATGCATATATTTTATGGAATAAATTAATTTTCAAAACAATAAGATTATATGAAGATATTAGACATGGTATTTTGTATTTATTAGTTATATATCTTCTTGAATAAATAATAAATGCTAATGTCATATGATTGTAAATAAGTTCAACTCCCAAGGTTTCTTTTAAAAAAATGTACTTGAAAAATGTATATATAGATGAAGAAAACACTGATTTTTTTTTAAAAAACATACATAATTATCTGCACAATATTATGAGTTTTAGGAATATTCCAAGTATATATAATGTATTTTATTTGGAGCAATAAAAAATATTATTTTTGATTTAGGGGGAAAATCTTTTGGAACCATTTTTATGATTTTTGAATTGTATTAAGCGTATATATATGGTTAAAATTCCTAAATTTTTTGCAAACTGTTGTGTTAATTTTCTCCGAAATAGTAACTGAATTTTAATCCATTTTTAATTTATGTATTTAATGAAAGATTGATTTGGTAGTTTTTGGAGAGATTTAAGGAGAATGAGATTAAGTTAATTTTTTGAATTAAATGTGATTTCGATTTTTTTTAAAAATTAATATCAATGGATTGGCATTCTCTTGTAAATAACTCTCAACCCCAAGGGTTTTTTCCAATTTTGCTGCAAAAATGTTAATATAGATAGATGTGAAAAAATTTATATAAATGGTTATTATAAGATCCATAGAGTAGTAGTGTACCTTCTTCACCGTCGAAGCTATCGTATGTGAAAGTAATGTGGCTAGTGGGATCATAGTTTCGGACAGACCAAATCACATCGCTAAATCCCTTTGTACCACCTGAAATTTTTGTAAATACAGTATAAATATGGAAAAGTTTCCAAAAACAAAGGACTAGAAGTGAAGATTAATCATCAAATTGGTATGGTATGTATAGACGTACGTACCATGGAGAGTGTTATGGCCTTCGTTAGGATCGGTTTTGAAGAATTGACCATTTAGCTTGAACTTAGCACCTCCTATTCTATTAGCCACTCTTCCCACAATTGCTCCAAAGTAAGTTGTATCATTCTAAACAATTAATCAAAAATCCCCAAAAACCAAGAATTTTTTTATTAATTATCATCTCTAGTAACAATAACGTCTAGTATCACGTGGGTTGTGAGACTATTGTTATAGATAAGTTATTAATTATATATACAAGTGGATATCGAGTAACGTGACATGAGAATGCTTTTGAGCCGAACATTTTACAAGTTTCTATCTAAAAAACCAAAGTGTTTGACCAATATGTACAAGAAAAGAAAAAGGAATGAAAACATTACCTTGTAAGCATCAACAGTATCAAATCCAAGAACGACATCGTCTTGCTTACCTGAATCATCATCAAGAATGTTAGATTTAAAACAGAGAAAAACAAAAAACAAAGCAGAACAAGGAAGAGGGAGAGATCGAGAGAGAGAGAGACCATGTCTGTCAGGGAGGAGAAGAGAGGTCATGACAGCACCGTAGTTAGTGAAAGTAACACTCAAGCTTCCTCTGGTGAGCTTATAGGTTTTGATCTTTTCACTGACACTGTAATCAACACAGCTTAACAACACCATCAGAACAGAGACACTCAGAACGTTTAATGACACTGATTTTTTCACCATTTTTTTCTTTTTTCTTTGGTGTTTTCAGAGCAATCAAGATCTGTGAGTGATGATGAGAGAGAAATGGACAAAGAAAAGAGAGATAACTTTGGATTTTTTTCTTCTTCTTGTGAGCTATGTGTATCCTTATTTATATTAGTGTAGATGAGAGAGATGAGACTATTTTATCCCAAACTTTGATTTTTTTATCTTCTTTGAAATTTAGAGTTTAGAAGATATTTTTAGTTGCCACAACAAAAGCAAAAAATTAGTCTTAAATTTTCATTCAAAGATTTAAATTATATATATATATATATATATATATATATATTGTTTCTTACAAAATTTAAAGCATTTTCAACTGTTGAATATATTTTTATAGATTTTTTTTTTCTTTTTAAAGATGTATGTTTGAGTGTATATTCTGAATACTTGTATATTTATTTTTGTACAAGAATAAAATTATTCTATTTTAGTATAAAGGAATTTTCAATCTTTTTGAATTTTGATTTGTCTTTATTATTGAGTTTTTGGTAAGTGTGCGTGCTCCTCGTGCCCTCGTGGCCACGAACAAAGTCCCAAATTCATAAATGCTTTTTTCCCCACGGACCACTTGCAACAATATGGTAAAACCTCTAGAATTTGATTAGTATACTAATTCTAAGGTTTGAAATGTAAGTATAATTTAATCGTAAATGAAACATTGTAGTTTTTTTGACCAGTAAGTAAATTAATTCCCATTTAGAAACCATTTGTTTGAACTTTATTATTGATCGATAAAGCAAATTCATCTGAATAGGATTATGATTAAAGCCGATAATATAGGGGATAAGATGAAGAGTATTAGTAATGTGACCTAACTAATCCCAAAAGCTAGCTCAAGGGAGAAGGGTTGCCACATCACATATATATTACCCCAAGAAACTATCCCACCATCGATGTGGGATATTCTAACAGCCTCTCTCGAGATGTGGGTGGGAAACGGTTTAACACGGAAACTGTCCGAACCCAACATCTCGGAAATACAACAAGACATGCCACTTATATGGGTCACATAGGTGGGAAACCATTTTTGTGGGAATTTGTCTGTTGGGCCTTACCATGGGCTCTGATACCATATTAGTAATGTGGTCTAACTAATCCCAAAAGCTAGCTCTAGGGAGAAGGGTTGCCACATCACATATATACTATCCAATGATTCACAATCCCAACCGATGTGGGATATTCTAATAGCCCTTCTCGAGATGTGGGTGGGAAACGGTCCAACACGGAAACTGTCCAAACCCAACATCTCGGAAATACAACAAGACATGCCACTTATATGGGCCACATAGGTGTGAAACCATTTTTGTGGAAATTTGTCTGTTGGGCCTTACCATGGGCTCTGATACCATATTAGTAATGTGGCCTAACTAATCCCAAAAGCGACTCTCAATTAGTATTTGTTTTAATAAATTTACGTCTAAAACGAAGACTCGTCATATTCATCTCATGATCATTGTTCCCTTTTTTCGAATGGGAGCTCGTATTAACTATTTATGGAAATAAATGATGCCGATGTGTACGATAGTTATGATTTTAATTTTCAACTCAAAAACTCGCCTAATCGAGAAACCTGCATGATAATGAATGTGTTAATTATTCCACATTTCACATATATATTGTAAGCAATTTATTGAATGAGTCATAAATTTTTATTATATAAACTACACGATTATAACGAAACGCATTAGATATATGAACTGTCTCTTTAAATATGCAATCATTTAATTCTACATCAGATACGACTATCTTTAACATTAACATCACTACATCACTATAATTCGACAAAAGTTTTATTTTTAGAACAAAAGAATAAAATCGTGTAGACTAGAGTTTATATTTTATATGAATATTTAGATAAGTTTTATAAGTTTCATGTATTGCTTCTGGTCGCACTTGTGTGCTCCTTTATTTTGTTGTCGTTTTTTATTTATGAG